TTCGAAAAGGTCCTCCAAGAGGTACACCTCGTTGTCAAGCGGTTTCACTTGCAAGTGTCGTAGGAGGCTATGCGCGAGATCCTGACAGAACTGGTAAGGATACACCAGTTTAGTCCTGCTTCCGAAAGTACCAGCGTTTCCCTCTAGGGGTTGATGTTCATGTTTGACTGAGCTGGAAAAATATTTTCACCTTCGGAAGATCGGTCTCATTACCTCGGCAGGTAAGCAGTGCATCAAGCTCGTGGGCTTGAGACTTCTGAGCCCGGATTCAGGATCTTTTAGTCCATATGCACAGAAATGGAAATCTCCCCAGGTCACGGATGGATCTGAAAACAATTGTTGCATACACTTCAGATACCATATCCTGGATGTCTGAGGATTTTCGACGATGAAGTATCTTCTGTGCTTCAACTGATATAGCGCAATGGATGCCACAAATTCAACCATGGGAAGGTAGCGTCTCCGCTTTTCCCCGACCTTTTGTTGGTCTTGTTGGATGTTCTGCATATTTGACCATGGTCCACAGACCGGTGCCATGAGGATGACATCAGGTGCTTGTTCCCTGATGATCTCCATGACCATGTGTCGTCCCTTGGATGTCATTACGTCGAATCCTGTGCGGATGTCCACGGGAGTCCCAACCTTAAGACCTGATAGTGCACAGCATTGACTGAATCTGGCACTTCCTGCAAAGATCTCGAGAACGTGGATCTTTCCTTTACGTACACAATTCCAATGTGCTTGTTCAGGAACGGATGTGAGGTCCTCGACAAACATGTTCTCTGCCGGATGAGGTTCTGCTGGTTTGGGAGTTGTTTTTCCCGCGATACGTAATGGCACTGAGGATGACTCCTTTTTCTTGGCGTCTGCAGAGGAGCCGGGTTGCTCCTTCTGCAAGGATTCTCGCTCTTCTGGTAATAGAAGATCAATTGGTAATAGAAGATCAATTCCAGGTTTCCCCGGAGGGATGGTTTCATCCTTCCTGACCTTCGTCATGTTAACCTTGATGAGTCGAGTCCCAAGATCAAGGCCTACCATTGCTCCTTCAATGGAAATGACCTTTCCTTTCAGCCATATTCCTCCCTTGCTTCCATCGGAACGGATCTTGGATTTGTCTTCCTGCCAGTAAAATACCTTGTCCTTCGCCTGAAGAGGCTTAGAACTCATTCGGAGATTTTGAGCCAGGTCTCGTCGGATGTCTTCAGATTGACGCGCTTCTTGGAATGCTTGCTTGGACAGCTGCTTGATCTGGATGGCTGGCTGTCAGCTCTTCTTCATTCCTGTCAATCGTCAACTGAGTTGGTGTTGCGACATCGAGTTGGATGAGATCTGCTGGTCGTCTTCCGAATGCGAGCTCCAATGGTGTTACACCCCCGTAGGTGACAGTCTGATTCCTGACAGTTGCAGCGGCCTTCACTAGCTGTCTGTATGTCACTTTCTTCAGTGTTGCAGGTGCTGTACCTGCCTTGATGGAACTTAGCATGATCTTGAGTTGTGCCTTCAGGAGTCGAACTGCTGCCTCAGCTCGATTTGGCCATGGTGTATTCGGACCCAAGGATATTGGTGTGATGTCAAGGGACTGATAGAAATGTTCCCATGTCTCTGTCATGAAGGCTTGATCTGCGACAACCGATTTAGGCTGCAAGTGGTACTGGTCAAAATAGTTCCGGAGGACAGTGATGTTCTCGACTTCTTGCGTAGCTGTCACTGCCTCTGCAGTGAGCAATGTTGTTGCTCCATCCAGGATGACAAAAACAATGATGTGTTCTCCTGTTCCAAGAGGAACTTGACAGTGATCAATGAATGTCATGTCACCAAAGGTGTCCGCTCGAAGTCCACTTGTTTTGCTTCGTGACGGTGCATGTTTTGCCGCTTGGCAAACTTCACACTCACTTCGGGTTTTGTCAAATAGGTCGAATGTTGATTTCGGCAAATGAAGTGCGCGAGTTCTAAATCGAAATTGATCTGTTGTCATGTGATGATGCTGTAGGTGGAGCTTCTTCAACTCTTCGGGATTTGACAATCGCGGAAGCGATGTTGGTTCTTCTGAGGATGGTGCGAAAGGATCTGGCTCAATGGTCGACCGGCCCTTCTTGTCTATGATCCTGTCTGCTGCCGATCCTGAACCTGCTTCTTCGTCCTTAAGCGAATTGTCGCGAAGGTGAAAATGGTCTTACCTATCCACAGGTTAATCATCGGTTTATTTGCCTGGGATGTAAGTCTCCAATTGTCTTCTAGGATGTCTGGATCTCCACCTACGGATGCATCAATGATTTCCGTAGTACGCTCTCGGCTGATGTTATCAGGATTGATTGGACACTCCTTGGCTCCATTTGGTGTGAACAGCGCCTTTCGGGGCGTGATGTGTACACGGATGAGCTGCTTGTTCTTCTTGTCAAAGATCCAATGGTCCTGCTTTTGAGACCCAATGATCTTAGGAGTTGCTAGGTCCTCCTTTGTCTCGGATGATTTTGCTGCACAAACAGTTTCACTCTTGGTGAGATCCCTGGAGGGAAACTTGATGCTGTTATCATCATCATAGACATAGTTGGTGAGGCCTTTGTCAGCAATTTCTCCATGTGCCTTCACAACTCCAGCGAGGTCGACGAGTGCATGTCCTGTACCGGATACTGAAACTGCTTGACGGTTCATGCCAAAGGCTTTGCATGTGATCTTGTCACATTGAGGTGTGTGCTCGATTCCGCATCTGACTGATGCTGAGGAGGATCGGTACAGTTCCTTGTTCAAGGACGTCGATGTTGGTACTGCATGGAGGAGTTGTGTGATACCGAAGATGCAGGGTCCAGTTTACCCTGGCGGTCTCTCCGTTTGCAAAAGTGAACTTGGTCTCGGCCGGGATGTACTGATAGGAGATGATGTCCTTCATTGGTTCGATGGCCTGAGTAAAACGCTGGATTGCATGCCAGCTGCCCATAGATCTGGTACATCCATTGTCCAGAATCGCATAGGTCGGATTGTGCTGAGGGTTGATGACAGGCGCCATCAGCTTTGTTGATTGTGCTGAGGGTTGATGACAGGCGCCATCAGCGTTGTTGCCAGAAGGCTATGATTTGTTGTGACGGACAGATTGTGTTCTGAAACGGTATCTGATTGGATCAGCTTCCCGTGGACGGCCTTTTTCTCATGATGCTCAAATGCATCATGGAATGCCATTAGCGCTTGTCTTGTGCTGGATGTCTCATGGGATGAGTGCCAGCCATGTTCGTTCCATGTCCATGATTGATCCCAGTCTTGGTCTGTCCAACCGGCATAGGTAGGCTCTATGGATGGTGCAGTCTGCTGGATGGCGGGCTGCTCCTCCATCTTTTCTGCAGTGGCTGCAAACGTCTTGGATTTTCCTTTTTCCTGTCCGCTCTTTCCTTTGCCATTCTCATAGGATGGATAACCTTTGTTTCCATCATAGGGATATTGGAATTTTGATTTTCCTTTCTTTCCCTTCTTTCCTTTGCCTTTTCCCCAATATGCCTGGTCGTAGGGATCATAGTTTTCATTGGCCATATTGGCCTTTCCGCCAGAACCGCTTTTTCTGAAGGGTTTAAAGCCACCTCGTTGGTGACTGCCCTTTTTGTTTCCTGACTTTCCTTTTCCTTTTCTCTTCTTGAATTTGAAGTTCCGCCCCGACACTTTTCTTGCTATGAACGCATCGTTCTCCTCGAGGACCCAGAACGTCTCTTCATCGTTGTTAGACATGAATCCTTCAAGTCCTTCTTCATCCTCAACCCAGAAGCCTTCTTCTCCTTCATATTCACCTTGTTCGATGATGAAGAATGTGTTGCTTCGGTTGCCTCCTTGAGGTCGGATGGATGGATCTTGAATGGATGTCCTCGTCCTGATGAAGAGTTCATGGTAGTGTGTCTTCAGCATCTCATAGGAGTAGTTTTTTAGTGAGATGTTTCTCAATGACATTGCACTTGTCAGTCTCTCTCTTTGCTGATCTGACAGTTCACTCTGAATGATGAAAAACTGTGCAATGAGATTATCCCCGAAGGGAAATGCGTCCCGCTGTCTGTCCTGCATTCCAGTGATATATTGTCTGAGGACTAGATCATCCTCGTTGAGCAGGGCTGGAGGCGGTGCTCGAACACCGGCTGCTTGCTGATGTCGAGCAATTGTTCTTGCATTTGCTTCCTGTGCGGATTGTCGAAATGATGGGGACTGTGCCGTAAAAACTGGCATCAAGTCCATCCATGCTGCCTTCAATCTCATAAGAAGGATTTCGAATTTTGAGGTAAAAATGAGGAACTCTTGGTTCTGCCTTCGATGATTGAAGAAACTGAGGAGCCTGTACAGATACACGTTGGTCGCACCTTTCAAAAAGTACTTCTTCAGCGTGTTCTTGAAGTAGTTGACTCCTTCGTCAGGATCTTGCAGAAGGTCATTTTGGAGGACTGCCTTGTACATATATGCATCTCCGGTCAGTCTGCTCTTGAGCAGAGGTCCTCTCTTGGGTGCTTTATTGTTGTGATTGTCACCCAGTCGTCCACGAGTTCTTCATACCTAAACCAGCTGACTTTTCCGTCGTACGATGGCGCCTGCTTGGCGGTCATCGATAAATTGAGTGTTTCCTCCATATAGCCTTGTGATTTGGCCATACTCGAATAGGCTTCCATGAAGCCTTCTCCATCGGATGACATCTTCCCTTGGATCTCTGCGGAAAACCCGCTCCGCTACCACAAATTGAGGCCCACTGCCGGGGTACCTATCCCAGAAGGGAACTGGTACCTTTGTGGTAGTAGAGGTCGTTGATTTGGTCCCTGGATCTATTCCGGAGAGAATCCAATATGCCACCATGGATGATTGGAGGATGGATTGTCCCTGGTGGATTGTCTTGTGGATAATCCTGTAAGCGGCCTGCAAAGGTTCCTTTGTCACGCAATCATGAGTATTGCCATGATACACAAAAGGGCCTTGAGCCAAATGGTTGCGGGAGATCAATTGTGTAACAAACCAAACACAGGGGGGGGGGCAGATCGCCAAGCGTCTGTCTTGCGGCACCATCTTCCTTAGGACGGTTCGAACAACTCGTGGCGAAAACCATGGCTTTCCCGCTGAAATGAGCCCCTCAACATGTAAACCCGCCAGCCAACACCTCGTGGTGATTTCATGTTTGCTTCTCGAGTTGATGAGAAAAAGGTTTAAGCTTTGCTTGCTTGCCACATGTGTAAAAAAAGTTCATCCAGGAACTCAGGTGCGCCCAACATGTCGCCATGGATTCCTGAAGCCCGAAAAGCGAGTGCAACGTTCTCGGATTGGCCGCTCCCAAAAGACTCGAAGTCCAAGACTGGGAAAGGCTCCGCACGCGGTCGACGCTCAATTTTTTGTTCGAAATCTCAGGGGATCACATGGGTGTGGCTCAAAATTCAACAGCTGGGGCAAACCGCAGGTTTTAGTCTTTGTTTCCATTTGCCAAGCTGCCATGTTTGTACATTTTTTGACCCACAGCCACATGTTGATGTTTGGAAACCCATCCAAAACAGGATGGAGAACCTAAGCACGGGTTCCAAGCAAAGAGCGAGCAGGCCGTTGGGGAAAACTGTATCTCACCAAGATCCCGAACCTAGAAGGCTCAGCTTTTGAAAAGGACCTTTGCGATCGAACGAGGAAGAAGAGTTGGACCCAAAGGAATCGTAGCACAGTGTGACATTTTTAAGCCCCGGGCTGTTCGGTGGACAGTTTTGGGGGATTTTTGGTGTCCACCAACTCCACTTTCAGAGCTAGACGAAATGTTCATGGCCACCAGGCTATGTCTTTGAGGCCACCCTTGCGGTTTTGCAGGGGTTTCCCAAAGGGACCCTCGAAGCCAAGGTTGGGATCCAACCTCAAAGCCGAGCCATGAGTCACCCGTGCCATCGAGCCGCGCCATTGCTGCATGGTGTCCATGGGCTCCGGGCGCAAGTTCGCGGCGATGCGCGTGGCCTCGGCTCAGAAGTTTCATGGGATCAAGCCGAAGGGGTGGTTCCCGCCGTTTTACTGGGTGAACTATAATATTTCACCGGCCTGAAATAAGGCTGTTACAGGGCGATTCCCCACATAAACCAGCATTTGGGGTGAATTCGGTCGTGTGAGATCGTTATAGTTCACCCAGATTTTAGCATGGCTCAAATACCCAATGGTCCAAACCAGGACCCCCCGTCAGCCGTCAGGCTCCATGTTAAGCTGTGGGAGGGCAGTTCCAATCAATGCAAAGCCACGGCTATGGGAAGAAGGGGAGTTGTCTGCAATTGACTGGAATTTAGCAGGATGTGCTTTGCAACATCTAAGGAACCCATCCACTAACATGGACTGGGGGGGGGAGTTGCCCGAAGACAAGTTTCTTCTGAAATGCACCGTTGGGTTCGCTATCAGTGAGCAGGAAGGTGTATTTCTCCTTTCCATAGTGGCAGTATGGTGGTCGATATCCCATTCACCCCGGGAAAAAAGGTTGAGGTTTCTCTGTGGACCAGCCAGGTGTGTGACGGCACGTCGCTAGGCTTTCGGCAGCTTTCACTTTGCCCCAGCGATTCACTGGCGCTGCATCCGCGTCCGAAGCATCTGAGACCTGCGCACAACACAAGGATCTCCGCGAGGCGGGAAATGAAGAGCTGGGCATCCATATGTACCATGGTCGCCAACACCAGTTCTGGAAACAGCAAATCCTGACTTCCCGAACATGTCTCCTTCTGAACCATTCCTGAGGGGGGAGGTCTGAGCTTTACATTTTCCCACGTATCAAGCCGCCATCTTGCGGGGGGCCGCAAGCCTCTTGAGCTCCTTCCGATCCCGGGGAGCCACTTCCAGGGGTCTGATTTCCTGATCCGGGAAGCCTCTGGGGTCTCAAAGAGAAACCAAAGGGACACCATGTGTTGGCGTCCTTCGCTTCGAGACAAACTCGAATGAAAGGCAATGCTTGAAACAAGCAAGGCTGACTTACTACCTGAGTGGACTGACCAAACAATGAAGCTCCAGGAGCTCAGGATCTTAAAAGAGGGAAATAGAGTCGGACGCCTGTGGGAGGGTAGCAGCCTTGTTTGGGCAATTTGACTTTCAATTGAACCCGCCTCCAAAAACAAGGAGCCGCTTTTGCAAAACCAGTGATTAAAAGCAGGCAGTGTGATCGTTTGATGATGAACACTTGCATTGATTTCCGAGAATGGGACACACCATCTGGTGACGCATTTCGACAAACAGCTTGTTTAGTGACTACAGTAGACAAATAAATTGGACCTCCTTCTGGATTGACTCTTTTTGGGTAAGCCATCAAACAAACACATGTGAATCCTGAACAACTTGAAACATCCCCCCTACCCAAAACTCACCTCTGAGCCCAAAGGGGAGCATACTGGCACCCTCAAAGTCTGTTCCCTTGGAACCACCATCTAGAGACCAATCTTTCCAGAACTTCGAACCCCCACGGGCCCCAAGTGGCGCCTCCTTGAGCTCCTCGCTACTCCTCGCAAGCTCCGCGGGCGGTTACCCCAAACCACTTCCCATCGAATGGCCCAACAAGTAAGATTTTTGCTTGACCGCTACGCTCGGAACTCGGGAAGCGAGCCCTCCAGTTGCAACCTGCAAAGAACACAGGGCACAATCCGGGCCCTGGAAATATGGTTCGTTGCCCACAGCAACAAAGTCTCAGGGTTGATTGAAGCCTCATTCTTTGCTCAAAAATCACCTTGCCCGCTGTTGGCAGTTTTCTAAGAAGGATCCTTGAGCAGAATGGGAAGGGTACAGCTACAAAAGCCCTTGAACAGGGGTCGCTGGATTTCCCCTTTTCATCAACACTTCCACTTCCCTTAGTTGAAACAAAGGAACATTGAGGGTCCCCGTCTACTGTATGGATGGTAGAAATTGTGCCGCCATCAGTCTTGCGGGTCCCCCGAGTTTGTGTCCATTGTGTTTCATTTGCCCAGAGCAAACTAGGGAATAGTTCAAAAAGGGTCCACCCTTCATCAAGGGTACGGGGATGGGCCTCCAAATCAGGGCCTCCAAATAAGGGCCTCCAAATGAGGGAATCCGCAAACTGGGTGGATACCCTTGTAGAAATGTGGGTACCCCTCACAGGAAAACATCAGACATGTGTTTGGAGAACATTGGCTGCTGGGACTGTAGTGTCCTAGCAAAACCGCAATTGAGTGTAAATAAATTGTCAAAGAACCTTGCTCTACAAGGCATCCCTGCAATAAGGTCTTCATCTCTGGAGCAATGGGGCCAAGGCCGGTGAAACGCCCGCCTCTGAAAAGGGGCCTTCATGCCAAAAAGACACACCCACCAACTACCGTCCAGAGATGGAGGCGGTTACAAATGGTTGGCAGCCTATGCGCAGCACAGCGACAGTTTGCCACGCAGCGACCCACAACAAGTGGCTGAAATTGGTCTAGATCTTAGGGTCAGCATGCAGAAACTGCCCGACGCTAAATTTTGTGGTCTGATTTTGGGGACAGCACAGCGCTGTTGGCACTAGCATTCAGAACGTGCGGTACTGTCCCCAAATCTAGTTTAGGATTTGGAGCCAAACAGTGTACTATCCCTAAAAAGTGCTTCCACGTTTGGTTTGGATGTTCAAGAATAATTCGGGCATGAGATATTAGGTAGTTTAAGGACAGTACATGACTCACTGATGAGAGGGACACTGAGTTGGAGTTTTGGAGGGTAGCATTCCTTTGGTTGATTTGGACGCCCTCCCAAACAAAGAAGATCAAGAGGAAACGACTCCAGCTTTTGCAACAAAAACTCCGTAGCTTTTCCGAAGGGAAGGCCCCAGGGCACCACAGCTTGCCTCAGAGGGGTGGTTCAAGCCTTCCAAAACGGCAAGTGCTACCGCGGCAGTTGCTCGACATGGCTGTGGCTCAAAAAAGTGGTACCAACATGGCACCCTGGTAAATGGAACCAAAGACAAAAATCCGCGGTTTGCCCCAGCTCTTTAATTTTGAGCTGTGCCCACGTCCGCGGGCACCCAACAAAAAGAAAAACAAACCGCGCCTGGCCGACATGGACTCGGCCGAGTCGCCTAGGGTCCAGTGATGCGAAATCGGGGAAGGTGGGCAGCCGGTTTTGGGGATTCCCTGAAAGGAAACCACCAGTGGATGGTTTATAAGGGTTTTTTTCCTCTATTGCTGAGCTTCAGCAAGATCACTCGAACACTCTTTTGGGTTGGTCATTGGGGGGGGGGGAGAAGGCAAGGGGAGGCAAGGAAATCCTTCCCGCGGGGCCCCCGCGGGGCTGGACATGGGATGATACTTTGGAACACAGACTGTGGATGGACGAAATCCATTTCGCACCACTTTGAAACCATGGTTGAAACCATTGCTTCTTGGTGTTTGCAGGGGAATCGAATCAAAACCCAGGGTTTCTGAACTGCGGTGCGACATGGATTGCGTCCACAGATCCCCAGGCGGCTGAACCCATGAGATACCCATACCCGCTTGGCCCGAAGCGGTCTTTACAGCCCCCGCCGAAAATGAACAGAAACAAACAAGAAGAATCAACGGCGCCAATGAAGCAAACAATCCCCGCTTGACGTGTGAAGAAACCGCAAGCGATGCAACCAACAACACCGAAACCTAGGTGGCTTTTCCAGGTAGAGGTGCATCCGCGAGAAGGCGGATTTTGCTCATCCGGGGACTTAGTTCAGATCCCATGGTACAAACAACCCACCAATCAAAAAATGCATCAACACCTAACAGGGGTCGAACTGCACCCTGAGCAGCCAACTTTTCGACGCGTAGCTTTTGGCATGTCTGCAAAATAGGATTTGGACCCCCCCAAAAATGGATTTAACACAAAAAGGCTAGAAGGGTTCCCCCCCCAAAAAAAAAAGAAAAAAGAAAAAGAAGGACTCTTGAGCCATTTGGCCCCCACCCGCCCGCAGCAAACAGCAAACAGCAAACGGCCAACGGCTCGCCTTCGCCCTCGGCATCGGCGGCTTCTGGCGCCCTAGGCTCAGATCGAGACAGATCCGAAGTGGATCCGTGGTGGACATGCTGGACATGCTGGACATGGCTCTAGGGGTTGATTCCTTTTCCATTCTTTTCAACCATCGTTGTCTCACTGGCTGAGCGGATGGCCCGAAAAAAGTCCAAACTGTATATTTGCCACTAAAATGGTCTTCCCGAAAAGCTTAAAGTTCATGAACTCAGGAAGTGAGTTGTTTTCACAAACCGATCGCTGTTTCCAACCTGGGGTTTTGATGGCTTCTGGAAAGAAGGACTGGAAAGAATGGGGAAGTGTCCCCTAGAATGGTGGACAAATAGTCTCCATGAAATGATGTTCACAAGAGAGTCCCCAATCAAAAGCAAGAACATGCCCATGTAGCAAGCGCATCAATAAATTGGTGCTTCGCATTAGGGGATCTGCAAGGAAATTGGGAATGACCATTGGGGGATCTGCAAGGGTTTTGGTTTCGGATCCCATTGAAGCAAACCACAAGGGATGGGCCAGTTGAGGGTTATTTCCAACTAATGGAAGGAAGTCCTGTAATTCACCACAATTTACAATAGTGTTGTGGTTGTGGCTGGCTTACTTGTAAAAAAAAGTGTCCACCGTACCCTACTTGGCGCTACTAAGGGGATCAAATCCTTTCGTAACCCGAAGGACAAATCCCCAGCGTTTTGTTCACGAAAATGGCCTTGCGAGCGCCCACCTGGAATTGGAGAAGCTGGCGGGGCTTCTGGAGCTTCAAAGCATGCCGAGCTTGCCGCCGGTCGAACACCGAAAGCTCGAAGGACCCAGTCTTGGGCAACTCAGGGAGTGCGACGACCAGCAAATATGTGTCAAAAAGGGTATCCGGGCCCCCTAATAGGTGGTGCTCCTTTGGACTTCCCTCTAAACCAACTCAAGAAAGGGACCCTCAACAAAAACACACACACAATATCTCTATATATATACATATACATGTATGTATATAGACTCCATAAGTCCGTTTTCAATGGACAAAAGGAGCCCAGCCTTTGTTTGGGGCCGCCCAAGCACAAGGCGACGCCATCTTCCGGGCCGAGGCGCGGCTCCGACTCGCCTCGAGAAGAAAATGGCACCGCGGTGCTATCAAAGGAAGTTTCAGATCTCGGCTGTGGATGGACGAAATCCATTTCGCACCACCCAGATATATCTCTGGGGTGATGCTTCCCCTAATGCCAACAATGGTTGTGGTTTCAGAGTGGTGCGAAATGGATTCCGTCCATCCACAGTAGGTCCTCCAGTAGAGGGGTTCGAATAAGGGTACCTTTTATTTTTTTGTGGTCCCAACCAAAAAACGAACGGTAAAAGGGCACTACTGGGTCTCTGCCGTTGCGTCCAGAGGGTCTTGACTCAGCAAGGCAAGGAAAAAGGTGCCCACTAATATTCCACTGATATTCAGGGGCACCCAAAAGATGGAGGTTTTATGCCTAATATAAGGTTTTGAGGTTTCATCATGGACCCTCAAGGAGGGGGGGGCTATGGCGAGGTGGTTGGGGGCGGGGGGGTTACTCCCTTACTAACCCCTTGATAAGGCCTTAACACCTTAGGCTTGAAAGGGCAAACGTGTTTGCCGGGCCACCCAACTCTTTTGCTGGGAAGTTCGGCAAGGCGGCAAACCAGTTGAGTCACAATCAAAACCCGGTATTAAAATGGCTGACCCGAAATACGAAGGTGTCGCTTACGGACCTTCACCTAACTGGGTTTTGATTGTGGCTGAGTCGAACTTTTGTGCTCCAGGATGGTTCTGTCTTTGACATGCTGGAAGTTTCATGTACCAGGGTGTACTCACGCCAGAAGTGCTACGCAAGAAGCTCAGTGGCCCGTGCGCCCTCCCACCTGTCGGGACCCAGTTTCTTTAAGTGGAAAATGCTTCAAACCAGGACCCTGAAAAGAGAGAGTATGGGTGGTTGAGGTACTGGTATGGTTTCTAGCCGAAATCCATGTGCTTCTCGCACCCTTCAGACACCCTGGGTTTTGATTTGATTTAACGGAAATCACGTAACAAACCATGATTTCAACCATGATTTCAACCATGGTTTCAAAGTGGTGCAGGTCTTGGTCCATCCAGGGTATGGAGGTTAATTACCACTTATGTAGGGGGCATGTACTGCCTTGCAAGCCTATATTGGCATCCGTACATCCAACACCCATACCTGAACATGCCCTTGATTGTAAACAAAAACAAAACACACCAACGTGGGCCCGCAAAACAATCCTTTGATACTGTTTATGTGGGGTTGTACACCTAGCAAATTGGACTATTGCCCATATTTAGCGCAGCTTCACGTGCAACATGACCACAGGCAGTATGCCCACTGGCCCGGGCAAGGAAACAGGAGAACAAATCCACTGATTAACTTTCGAGGGCTTTCAGCAAGTTGCCTGCTGATAGGGGTGGGGCATCAAGCAGATCAACTGATTTGACCGCCGTGCCATGTTGGATGCTCCCACGATAATCCACAAACACTTGTATCTAGTTGTAGGATATTACAAGAGCACTAAAAGAGTACTAAAAAAGAGCCTACAGGGGAAGAGGAGGCGAAATCCGCAAGAAACGCATCCAACCCGCTTCCAGAGTGTAGGACAACTCAACAGTGAGTTTCTGGTTTGTCCTCTCGGAGCTGAAAGAAAAGCTCTCCGTTCCACCGGACGCTCAGTCGGGGCCTGGGTCGAGCAATGGCTCGAACATCATGGCGCATTGCCTGGCGATTGGAGCCCCCAGGCCTGGAAGATCCACTTTTGGCTTGCTGGCGAGAAGAGAAAATGAAGGAACACCAAGGCAACCAAACAAAAAGGTGAGCTGGATCTGGCAATACAACATAGAAGCCAAACCCAAAAACCTCCAAGAAGGCACTTGGAACCAAAGACTTTGACCGACTTGCTAGCGGAATCTTCGTTTGGGCTGTGCCCGGCCCAAAAGGCTCTCTTTTACGCTGGGTGTCGTCCCGACAAAAAACCATCTCGATAAAGTAACTACAAATGGCCCTTTGCTCCTGTGATGGCTTTCAGTTTCAAAGTCTCCAACCCAGTTGACTCCTGGTTCTACCACCAAGTTACGTTTACAAAGGTGTACACAGGCCAAACTTCTTCACCCCGACCCCCCCCCCAACAGGAAGAACCGTGTACGAGACTGGACGGTTTCGGGCGCTGCACATCTTGCCGGGCGAAACGTTTCGCCTCGCCAGCTTCTTCTTCGGCTTGGATTCCTCAGGCAGAGGCCGGCACGGGAGCGGATGTTTTGACTACCCTAAGATGGACCTAAACTCAGGGCTTCTCCTTTTTGGGGGGAATGCACTGGGTTTGTTCGTCTGTCCTGCAGTCAATTAGCGGAACCCTGGCACTTTCGACCTGTTTTCTATGACAAGTTCACTCTTTGCTCCCCGGACTCTCAGGGCCTCACACCAAAGCTTTGGCGAATGCGACAAGTTGCTTTGTTCTAGCGCTACCTTCCCCACTCTCTCTAGAAAACCTCCGGAAACCCAGGGAAACGGCCGCTTTTCGAAAAGAGGCATGGTTGGAAAGAAAGGGGAATCAACCCGTAGATTTGTGGAAAAGTCACCCAACAAGTGAAAGGTGAAAGATCCAACCCAAGAGCAGCCAAGTCATAGTCTGAGCCTCAACTGGGAGTGTCCCTACAAGCCTTCGAATTATCTACCCAGCTGCTTAGTGCTCAACTGACCCCTCAGGGAAACAATTTGTACAATGCTCACAGGCAGTGGTGAGTTCAGTGGCAAAATTACGGCTCCTCTCTTGACGCATAGAGTTTGTTTTTCTCGCCTGGCAATCATCTGGCTGTGTCTCAAAACAACATGTACCAAAATGGCACCCTTGCAAACAAAGACTAACTCACTTCCTGAGTGGACTGGCCCAAAAAAGTCTAAACTTTTCATTTGCCACTAGAAAATGGTCCAAACCCAAAAAGTGACTGAAGAAAACCCACGAGCTCAGGAAGTGAGAAGACCTGCGGTACCCCCCGTTTGAGTCACAATCAAAACCCGGTATTAAAATGGTCTACCCAGAACCATGTAAAGAATTAAGAAGACGCACATCCGCGCTATTTATGGTTGGGATTATCCCTTTCTGACCTTCATCTACCCGGGTTTTGATTGTGGCTCAAAAAGTCCAAGCTTTATATTTACCACTAAAATGGTCCAAACCCCAAAAGTTCTTTTAGTTCTTCGCCTATTTCTGGTTGAGCCACTTCCATCCACCGGGGCGCGATGGAGTTCTTGGAGATGGCTCGCTTCCAGGGCGCCACCATCAGCAACATGTCAGACCTGGGTCCAACGGGGCCACGAACGGACGGACAGGTCCCTTTGGTTCTTCACAGCTTAGACCAATCCAATCTTCACACCCCAAACGCTATGGCCTTGAAACAAGCTGACTGCTTTGTTTGCAGCCCTCTACTAAAAACGAACAGAGCCAAAGAATGAACAACTTGATCCAAGAACGGCGAAGCAATGCAAACCTTTCACAAACTTCTGCGAAACCTGATGCGTGTCCCCTTGGTTTGTCTCCACATCAGACAAATGCGCCGACAGATTCACTCAGGGCATCTCCATGGGAATTTTGTATGTCGTGTAATGACCCTCACAAATTGACAGACTGATGTTGAAACCGAACCTCATATATCTCCCAACATGGCTTGGTGCACAGACTGCAGAAAGACGACGTTCCTCTTGGTGAATTGGCCTTCTTGCACTTCCATGTTAGTTGGTGGGAGGGTATATCTCCTTGCAAATTTGGTACCCGGTGCGAGAAAAGACGCAAGAGTCTAACCTGAAACAAGGAAGCAACCGGGTCCCAAGCGGCGAGGCACCGCAACTCACTCAGTCAGTCCAGGTGACAAAGAAAACCACCCATGAGTCATTGCCACCAACACATGGGTATGGGTCAAAATCAAAGCACCAGGGGACCGCAGGTTTTAGTCCTTGGTTCCATTTAGCAGGGTTCCAAATTTTTGACCCAAAGCCACATATGTGAGCTTGAGAGTGTCCACCCCCTGGAAATACTGAGGGTCCCAGGTTGTACAGAATATTCCATTTGCATTATCTGCTTTAAGGAGTTGTCTAAACAATGGGTCGAGTTGTGCTAATGACCCCTGCTCTTTCATTTCGTTTGGGTGACCCTTAAATGGGTTCTAACAAATGGGTCCCTTTCAGCTGCTACACACACACACACACGCACACTTGTTCTGTGCAAGCGATTGGAACCTGTCGTCCAACCGGCGAAACGGGTTCGCTAAATACAGCAATCTCTGGAAGAACTTTCCTAAGCGAAGCAGGTTTCCTGAAACGTTGACATCTATCCGGATGTTGTGTCAAATAGGGACCCCCAACAATGGTGGGTGTCCATTTGGCCGGCGTGTAGGTCAGCTTCTATCTCCCTGTCCATGGAACATTAACGGGTGCCCCAAGCTGCTTTTGGCAGGGATTTCCAAAAAGAGAACACACCCAAATGAGCATATGTCAAAATCGGGGGCGCCATGGGTTGTTTCCCTGTGGTTTAGTTGGCGGAGGGGGGGGGGGGTTGTTTAGGGCCACCGCCCTCTACAGCCCAGCCGCTCTTCTTGCCTCAGGTTCTCGAGGGCCTGCCCCTTGCTCAGCAGGGGGGGCAGCATGTCATGCAGCTCCTTTCAGAGACAGTCCACCATACGGGTGACAAACAAAACGGCTTCTGTTTTCCTTTTCGTCTCCCCTTGAGCCAACCAAAAACGGGAGCAAGAGCGACCCCTTCCTAGAGTTGAGAATTTTGAGTGCGGCATTGGCCAAACAAACCTGGGAAAAAGGGGTGCCACCGAGGAACTGGGTGGTCTGAGCGCCCGGAATATCATGTGTCCTTCAAGGTATGGGAAATTTCAGATGCATTGCCAGGTATGGGTTTAGCTCTCATAGAAGGGGTATCTACCGCCTTGCGCGATCATACTTGAGGCCAGATTCTGAAACTAAAGGTGACCTCTTGGCAGGCTGCTTCTCTGCCACTAAGTCACTAGAGGTCCACGCCTTGAGGTTTCGCTTTCAAACCTCGGTTGCTTTCTGCTCCCCTGCTCAAAGTTTCACTTTTAGTGGTTTAATACGGACAACCCCTTAGTTGGCCAAAAGTTAAAAACTCCCAACACTTTTTGGCAACGTGCGAACCAAAGTGTACCTAGCAACTGCAATGAAAATCCCAGGTGCCCAGTGGATTTTTCCAAAGAAACCATGGGCCTGGTGGAATGGCCGGGCAATGCAGAAGGGCCACACTCTGGCCGCTGGGAAGCGGATTCAGAGAGAGCCGGAGAACTAAGCAAATGGCTCTTGTTTTAGGGGGTTTAGGGGGTTTGGGGGGTTTGGGGAGGTTTAGGAGTTTGGGGGGGTTTGGGGGGGTTTAGGGGGTTTAGGGGGTTTGGGGGGGTTTGGGGGGGTTTGGGGGGGTTTGGGGGGGTTCAGGGGGAGGTTTAGGGGGGTGTAGGGGGTTTGCCAAAGCTGCACTCCCAAGCACTCGCCCTGTGCTTTTTGTCAACACCCACAGGTGACCCGGTTCAACCATATACCTACCTTGTTCTATCGACCAGTACAAGCCTTGGATGTCCTTCGGCTTTTCAAGGGCGGCCTTCGCGCCTCATGTCGTCCCAAGGTTTCAACGAGTCTTGGCTCGACGCGGCTTCGACTCCGCTTCGCTTCCCGTCCTCGACCACGGTGCGGCGCTTTTGGGACACAGGCCCTGACGGGCGGCCGGACAGTGGCAGCCGACGACCTGCTTGTAGTGGTCTCTAACCATTGAAAGCCAGGGCATCTGCTGGAACATCAGCTTCCCATGTTGGTTCAGTCTCTTGGTGTGTGAGCCCTTACAGAACAACCCTGAAATTGGCAACTTGTAGTCAAGCAACTAAAATGAAGAAGGGTGCCATTACAGAACATGGCTTGATGTCCATGCAAATGATGTCTTCAACACGGGGGAGTCTTTGCTTTGCTTTTTCTGGATAGTTGCGTGTCTGGGCAGCGACGTGGGATGCGACGGCAAGCAAAGGTAAGCTCTCCGCCTTGATGGATTTGATGGATACCGAAAAGCCCTTCACTCTCCTTCTCTAGGTCCTCCAGTAGAGAGCTTAGAATACGGGTTCCCTTTTTATGCAGTCTATGTTAGTAGGGGAACCCTCCCCCAAAAAAGGGGTGAGAAAGGGCACTACTGGGGGACCTAGTTATGCCTCCGGTGCCAGTTAAATAAAACACACAAAGGCCACCCCCTCCTGGCTCAAGAGCAGGAAGCTCCTCAGGTATCTCCTCAACCGGCGGCAGAGTCACCGAAGAACGTGTACCTGGCTGTGGCTGGCAAATTGGAAACCTCCATTTTGCTGGTTTGCTCTTTTGGTAAGTGGAAAAATGGTCTGCTCGTTTGCAGGGCTAATTTTTGGCCTCTGGGCGTTTGATTTTGGACTCTTGCCTTGCACTCTTTGCGCTTTCCAGGGGACAAAACACATGGAGCACCACATCCAATTCCCTTGTGGGAAGCTCTGCGTCCAAGGTGTTGACATCCCAGCATGCCCAGATGTCAGCCAAGGCGCGCTCAAGCACAGCCGGCTCATCTGCGACAGAAGCTCTCTCGATGGAGCCTGAACACACTGCACGTCCGCCGCAAAAGTTGGGACTTCCTGGTGGATTCCACAAAACTCGGTTGCTCTTCCCCCTGAGCCAAGCACTCATTTCCCGAGTGGATGGCCCAAAAGCAAGCAACCAAGCTTGATATTTACCCACTAAAATGGTCCAAGCCCAAAAAGTGACTAAAGTCTTGAAACTCATGAGAAACAGTCCAAACTTGTTGTTTACCACTCAAAGGGTCCAAACCCAAAACGTGACTAAAGTCCAGAAAATCCTAAGAACAGTCCAAATTTGTTGCTTATCACTACGGTCCAAACCCAAGTGGAAAGTTCGGAAACCCATGAAGTGAGAGGATGCTGGAGTGGGTCTTGTCAACGCGGGCGAAATCCTCCCGAGGCGCTCCGGCGCTCCTTGCGAGTGGCTCTGCATCTTCCGGCGCCGGGTGTCATTTCGATTCACCAGCCGGGCGACGCCTCACGTGCCGCGAAAAGAAAACCGTGGCGTTTCGTGGGTTGAGGCATCTGGGGTGGAAAATTGAGAGGGCATGCGAGTTGTCGCTAGTTGACACCCCAAGAAGCATGAACACATGACGGCCCCACCTGGAGGTCTGAGCTCGATTGACAAAGAGGCTCAGGGAACCAAAAAGGGCGTACAAAAATATGGCACACCGCTTTTCACACCACTTTTTTTGCTGGTTGATTGGAAAGGGACTCATCTCGAAGGACGAAAGCAGGGTGGAATCCTGCTGGATTCCAAATGGGAAAGTGAAAGGATTTGCTCCAGCCCAGGACTTCAATCCAACCAGTTGATGACCCGAAAGGTAGACATGGATTCATTTTCTTCGAGGCTTGCGAAACATACATGTTTGTGGCGGGTTGCTCAAGGGACACCCAAATCGCCCCCGAAATTGCAGTTGAAACAACTGTTAATGCTCTTGGGACATTCAATCAGCTTCCCTCTAATTGGTGGTTTGGATTGGTGGTTTGGAGGTTACGGGACTGGTTTCCCATCTACCTACCCACAAGAACTAGCGGTTCAGATCCCAAAATGGATTGCCAATCCCAACAACAAATGTACTCAACTCCCCAAAACCAGTTCGAACACCTTGGATTCGGACAGGTAAGTTGGGCAGACCCAGCCCCTTTGAAACCGGCCCGGGGGCCCCGTCGAACCTGCCGAAAAATTCCAAGGCCCTCGCTGCTCCAGCTATAACTTGGCACCTGACAGCGGTCGAACCGGCCGAAAAATCCAAGGCCCTCGCTGCTCCAGCTATAACTTGGCACCTGACAGCACCGCGGCCAGAACCAACCGCACCATTTGCTTGCTTGCTTGCTTGCTTGCTTGCTTTATCTGATTTATCTACCTTTCCATTTACTTACTTGCTTTGAAGTGTCTTTCCTTCCTTCCTTTCTGTTCTTCCTTTCTTTCCTTCCCTTCCCTTCCCTTTGCCTTTGCCTTTGCCTTTGCCTTTGCCTTTGCCTTTCTTGCTTTCTTGCTTTCTGTGTTCGTTCGTCTGTCGGTCTGTGTATTCCACGGCCAGTGCTGCCCGAACCTGCCGACCGCGTCTTGCCCGTCTAATCCCCTGTGCACGGATGCCAGGGTTTGGGATGCTCTTTGACGACACGTCTGGAGATCGCCTTTTTAACTCCCATGCAACTGGGATCATTCGGGTTGCTCCAAAAACACGGTCAGATGGGCAAAGAATAGGCTTTTGGGGCGGCTGCTTGAGTTGGTTCCATGTCCGTGGCTTGTGATGGGTCGAGTTCAACAACACGGTTCTGAGCTGGGAGGAAAAACCTTTAGGCAAACAGCGATTGCCCACAATTCGTTCAGGGTCGTTCCCTGGGTTGCGCCCTCTTCGGGAATGGTTTCAAAAACACAGGCTTGGGTGCCATAGATCCCCCAGCAAAAAAGGTTCTAAACCTTTTTGCTGGGTTAAAAGGACGCGTGGAATCCAAAAAGTTTAAGTCTAAAGATCCCCTTGCCAATAGCAGGGCTGCAGGGCTGCTGCGACAAAAAACCGAAGGAACATCCCCTCGGATGCCTGGCTTTGCAGCTTTCGTCCTGGCCGGCGCGTGGAAAGTTTTTTTCTCACTGGGGTGTTCAAAATGAGATGCCGGAGCCCCAATCCTACCCCCTGCACATTGACAAGAAAGACACACACACACACACACACAAAACCAGCAACTTAGAGGAGTATGCATTTGGGGAGTCCCTTGTCAGGCTCCATGTCAATCAAGATCTTGCGGATTGATCTTGAACGCAGTCCGAGGCAAACTGGTCCAACGCGTTTGCTTCCCACCTGGCCCCACTTGCTGAATGTCGACCCCGATGAATCCTCGTCAAAAACAAGCAAGCGCTTGCCAATCTTGCTGCTTGCTGCAGGGAACCCGTGGGAATGGCGGAATGGCCCTAACGCATCCAGCTGCTGGTTTCCTTAGGGGACCCCTGGGTTCATGGCCACATTCCCTATCGCACCATGCAAGTAATCCTGGGTTCCCACAATGAAAGCCGCAAAAACGAGACATGCCATTCCACAGCTCCGCGCCGCAGGACCTTCTGACTTGGCGCCACTTTTCTGGACGCCAACACGAAACCCAAACGAACCAAGGGCTTTGCCTGAAAATTTCTGCCGGAATCTATCAAAACTCATTCCCCATGTGCCAGACTCTTGCTCCAAGGTTGAAAGGGAAACTGACTTTGAGTTACTCCACAACCCTTTGGCCGCTGTTTCAGGCATACCTCTACAAGCAAAGGCATGGTTCACTGTCCGAAAAGCACACTCCCAGCCTAACTAGAGGCAAACGTTTTGGAGCCATGACAAAATGCGGCCAACATGGGAAACCCCAAACGTTGAATTTTAGTTATGGGCTCTTTGGTGAACATCATTTTAGTAGAGAGCCAATGCCCACAAGCACTTTTTTGGGTCATAGACACTCGGATGTGACTTTCTAAGGGACTTCCGAACCCACCCGCGAAAAAGGACACACCCACGTCAGATTCAGGAAATTTGCTTCAGAGCTCCGCCCCTTGCCCCTACTGCCCAACAGCTGGATCACTCTCCTTTGCTGCTCGAGCGATGCTCCGCACCTGAAAAATCCCCCTCAGGTGGCAGGGGAGCGCCTTTGGACTGGTGAGCCTCCAAGCACGGTGGATACCCAAAAAATCAAAGCAAACTGACAATACGGAATAAGACCGAGGCAAATCCTGGGTCCTTTTTCGTTGTTGCAATATTTCGGGCGCCCACCATCGCCCACCCCATATTCGGGTGCAAGTAGGCACACATGCTGCCATCTACTCTCCCCATGCTGTAAGCCCTAAAGTATCCCTAAGGGCAGCGGGACTTCCCAATCCTTGGCATGGCTCATGGCTCTCATCGGGGAGCTTCATCATTTGCTACAGGTAATTTTTGGTTACTTGTGTAGCCCTTGGGCTGACCGGTCCTCTCTCAACTTTTTGACCTTCAAAAATGGGAATCCAACATCTGAAAGAGAGGTCTCCATTGGCTCGTTGCCAAGCTTGAGTTCAGGGTTCCGTGTTGTTCCATGTATGTCTGGCAAGGTCGTCAAGGGAATGCAGGGTTCGAGAGGGCCTTAAACAAATCATCTCACAGGGTTTCTAATCGATATGTCCCCTAGAAACATCACCAACTGGACGCGAACACTTATCTCCAAGTGAGCCTCCCACCCTCCCCCGGACCTCCAGCGGCCGGAGGTCAGAATGGGAATGATGCCATGGTTGGAACCAAAACTCCAAAACGGCGTGGAAAACCAACACTCCAAAACTACAAAACATTTTTTGGAGGCGCCCGTCTTCCACTCAACGGAGCAACGGAGACCAAAGGGTAGTTGATTTCAAAAAGAGACCTGTCCAACAAGGTGCGAAAACGCTAAACTTGCGATGGAATGAACCCAGGCTTCTTCGAGTGATGGCAACCACCCGTTGGATGGTTTATGGTTACTGGTTGGGTCATTCCATTTCTCATCTGCCTATCCCAGCAGCAAGTAGTGCTTCCAGGGCCCACCCGGCCTTTCTCCAGCGACGGGGCTGGTATGGGCGGCAAGTACGCGCATGCGCCAGCCACCATTGCCTCGGACAAAGAGAGAGATGACGACCAAATGCCCAATGACCGTAGCAGAAGGCACCCCATGAGTCCTTCTATGTTCTCTTTCAATGCCCTTGAAGTGTGTTTCAATTGACACACTAGGCAACGTTTACGTGAACAAGGACTAGCATACTGCAGCAAGTGCAGGTCTTGCCTTCACAACTTCACGCCGCTTACTACTCTTTACCCTATAAATCGAGCTAACATTCAGAAGGACCCTTGCAAAATGAATTGTGCGCAGTTCAAACAATCATCCCTTCCATTAGCGCTTTCGCTTCAACAAGACAAGCATTTGTACCACCTACCACACATTCCGATATATATATATATATATATATATATACATTTGTATGTATATGTAAGCGGCAACACAAAGAAAAGCAAATCTTCTGCAAATGCAAGAGCTCAAACTTTAAATGACATTCGTCAATCAAAGCCCCTAAATGCGGCAAGTGTCACATTCTGTTTCGTGAGCGGATGTTTTTGCTGAGGTGGGTGCGGCGTAACTCAACACTAAACATGGGGGATGCCAAGGTGAAGGACATACTGTGGATGGACGAAATCCTGCACAACCTAAGAGACCCTGGAATGATTTCATTCCCGCGTAAATACCAAACAACAATGGTTTCCGATGGTTTCAAAGTGGTGCGAACGGATTTCGCAATCTTCCGCAGTACATCATCGGGTTTCGCTCGTTTTGCCCCCGCGAAAGAAATTTCGCTCGCCATTGAAGCAAAAAAGATTCCCAGCGCATCCGGATACCATCCGGCGACAGCGCGTGCGCCAACATCCGAGAGCCAAACGACACCATTGGGCGTCGGCTGGCTGAGCCGCTGAATGAGCCAAAGGTGACAAACGGAACCCAGTTGCCCAGCGACCGGGTCGAAAACGCGGACCCTTTTTGGGTGGGACACTTTTTAGCGGGCCCTGAACCCAAAGAAAAGGGGGGGCGTAAGGGTACCTTTGAACAGGGGGAAGAAACCAAGGGGCCCCAATCCCATCAGGAAACCTTTTGGGAAAATCGACGATAAACCATGGGCTATCAAGCAACCAGGCTCAAAGTGCCTTCTCGGATCGAGTCTCGACTCATGCACACTCTGCTGGGTCCCACAGACCCAGCCCGCCAGCCTCAAAATCAATCCTGGTTGCACACACAGCTGCGTGTTGACTCACTTCCTTCCGGATCCGGAGACAAAGTTCAAAGCTGTTCACTAAGGTCGTCGTCCCAAAAAGCATGCAATCCATCGATCTTTTGCGCTCAAGCCATCAGGATAAGCCCTTAGCCTTTCCTTCAGCTGCCCCTTATGCATTGAGAGTGGGCCATCAGGCGATATCTCCTGCTCAACATGCTGAAGCCACTACCCTCCGACGAACAACCGTGGAAGGAAAATGCACCCTTGCCAAAGCGACCGCAGTGTTGCACAAGGGGCCCAGGTGTATTTCCATGTTCGGTGGAAGGGTATGAACATCATCAAACATATATTTCCATCTCGCAGGCTGACTGGACAAACATGTCAACGTTTTGGGACCTTGAACAAGAATGGACCAACAAAGCAAGCTGGGTGAAAAAGTCGACTTTTCTCCACAACCAAGAACGAAACCTCGCCCACGTCCCGAGGTCCTTGGTGGCCTTTTTGGGCCGACGCAGATGGACCAATTGCACGCACGAACTTGCCCAAAAGCCAAACACTAGGAGCTCCAGCTATGCCAGCTGCTCAATGAATGACTCAAAGAAGACTATGGCTATTCACCAGGAGCTCAGCGCTTTTGGGCAAGTTGTTGACTTTGGAGCGCCCCACAAAAAGCTGTCCACGACCTCAACAGAGATGTCTAATAACATCCTTCCATTTGTTTATCCCACCTGGAAAAATAGAACATATTTGCAGTAGAAATAGATTCTCTTCAAAACCAAGAAGGGAAAACCAAAACATATTCTTAAGCAAATGGAAGCACCTCTGGGCTGCCTGTGAGCTTTGCAACGACCACTTGCGGAGCGCCCAAAAACATTCCGCCACCACGCCAGGGCCACCTTTCGCCATGGCGGGGGCATTGAATTTGCGAAGACCAAGGTTAGCCCCCAAGCAGTTGGCTGTGGGTCAAAACCAATGGGATCCCATTTTGGTTGGTAGGTGCACCACCCATGTTTGGCTGTTTTAGCGGGGATTGGGATGTTCACTGGGGGTACGAATTGGATTTTGACCCATGGCCAGTTGAGTCTGAGCAAGTTCTGTTCCTTTGGTTATTGTTTCAGCCACTAACTTCTCTTCCAAGCCTCGATCTTCGTGGACCCTTGTGGCTTGTGACACTCCGCACGTCAGCCGCGGCTCAGTGGACCCCACTTCGGTTGATCCCTTCGATGGGAACCCGGAGCCACAAATCAAGGCCCGGCTGAGGCGGGACATGGCGGGACAATGAGATCCCAACGGGAGTGGATTTGTGGGCCGGGGGGGGGGGTCCCATGGCCGGGGCGGGGGTCTGATGGAGGAAAGACCCCTGGTTGATGAATCCAGGGTGAACCCAAGGCGCAACATGACTGAGTCTAAATTCCAGGATTCCAACCACCTGGTGTCCTCCTTCACGGAGGAGGGGCTTAGGGGTGCCCTATGGTCCTGCGGAAAGGGACCCGGAAAGTTTGCCAAACCCAGAATCAGCGTTCTTCAGGTTGGTTCTTTTTCGTTTTTTCATCCATCCTGTGAAGAAGCCACTTTTCGATTCTCGGGAGTTCCCCACTCGCCTGCCATGCCTGGCCAGACAAGCTTCATGCTTTTTGGGCCCCAAAATGATGATCATACTCTGTTGGAGAGGCGCTCAACTCCAAAGAATATTGATTTGGTGTTTGTTGAAGGCATCCGACAAATTTTCGACACACATCTCAGTTCCCCACAGGGCCCAACCTTAAGGTATGCATGAACCCAAATATCTATTCTCAAGCTGAAAGTTTGCCAACGCAGGTCATTGTGAGCACCTCATTGTCATGCTGTTTTTTTCTTCGCAAAATGAGTGACCCCCCATTTCATGGGTGATGACCCTATGTCCTCAACGTGGTCCTCTTGACTCAGGAACAAGTGATAAGTGATGTCATGTGCTCCCTTCCTTGCAATTCACCCGGCTGACGCGCACAAAAATCGCTTTGCCAAGCGCTGAGCGAATTCCTCTGGGCGATTGCCCTGCATGCACCGCGCGCTTGCTAAGTGGGCAAAGGGACTGGAACAAACAACAACCACCTGGGGGACACAACCCTCTGATCTTGTGTGAAGGTTTGAGGGGGTTAGTCATCGGCGTCAACAGCGGACAACAGAACCCTAAAGTGCCAACAAAATAATGCACACCAAACCGTGCGACTGTTGGTTCGGAGACGGTGTGCTCGCTCGCTGCTGGACTGGGCTTTCCCACTTCTGAAGATCATTGTCTCTCTCTCTCTCTCTCTAAACAAACGGGGGCTGACCTATTGGAGACCTGTGCTGATTGAATCTGTCCTGAGACCCGTTTTTTTATTCCTGAAGGGCGCTCCCCTCGCAAGACAAAAAACTGAATGGCCCCTTGGTTTCCCGGTGCTGGCTAAGAACACACGGGCACAACATCAGGCCAGTCATGCCGCTATGCCTGCCAATGTCCATTTGCCAGGCTAAAACCTCAAGACCCACTCGCGGCCAAAACGGGTGAAACCATCCGAGGTTGATAACTCAGGCTTTGCCCTCGATCTTGTCAATGGCCAGCAAGCTGCGGAGCGAATCGACCAGAAATCTGACGGTCTTGGATCTGTCCTATTTGGGTTCATGCATATCTTAAGGTTGGGCCCTGTGGGGAACTGAGATTTGTGTCGAAAATAAGAGGACGCCTTCAACAAACACCAAATCAATATTCTTTGGAGTTGAGCACCTCTCCAACAGAGTTCCATCGATCCAACATTTCAGCTGGTAAAGCGTATTCAACTGACTTTTGGGGGTGAGGCGGAAAAGGAGGGTTGAACGTTCTCTTCCCACACCCCTAGTCGACTCCATTTCGGTGATTTTTCGCCTCCGAAGCCGGGGCTGTTTTGGGTTCGACCAGGAGTACGCACAGGCCAGGAGTGACGTTGCACAAAGCAGCTGTAGTGTCAAGCTCGGAGATTTACGAGGAGAACCACTATTTTTAGGATCCCCAATTAGAAATAGATGATGCGCACACTCAAATAGGGTTGCCACATGATTGTGGAGGACATAGTTTAACCCAGGGTCGGGGGGGTGGCCCTATCAGCCCGACAGCCCAGTTTCAGCCGGTTTGCCTGCACAGGATCAGGCCAGCATCCGTGTGCGGAGCCACGCGCACCTGCCGATGCTTTAGGGTTACTCCCCAGTACGCTGTCACTTGGTCAAGGTTGAGCCTATTTGACGTAGGAATCCAATCTCTTCCATCATCATGGCAGTCGAAAGCAAGGTTCCCAAATGTTTGCCCGGGGCACATGGGAAGAAGTGAACCCGTTGTCAGTCCAGTTTCTCGGTTGCCCGCGCAGCAGCAAAACGAGATGGGCTGACCATTTCCAGTGAAGCCACCAAACAAAGGAACACGGGTGCCACTGAACGGGGGCCTCGAAACAACTGGGCAACCATCATGGCAGTGGACCTTCCCAACAAAAGGAAACAAATTAATAAATCTGTACATATATATATATATAGATTAAAACACAACTACATAAAAGCTCCTCCCCTCAGCTTTAGTTTGCGGGGCCTTCACATGGCTTGGATGCGGATGAAACGGTCTCTGCGCATTCTCGATCTGGCTGCCACTCAAAGTGCTTCTTTCAGGCGATTCGGAAAGCCCGGCAAACCAAAGGCACCCCAAAGCCCGTGCTTCTTCTTCCTCAGGGAAGGTTTGGAAGGACCCAGAAGATCGAAACAAATGGAAATCCCGGGATTCCCTCCAGAATTGGGCCTGATGCCTCTGCTGAAGGTCAGGATTCATCGGCAAATGAGAAAAACATGGCTGACCAAGGCTTTCTTTGGTTCCCCTTCGCCCAATTTCCGAAACTCTAAAACTTCCAAAGGCGCTAAATGTCTTCAATCTTTTACCTGGGCCTATGGTGGACATCATTTGGGTGGGTTTTGTGTCACTTGGGTGGTTCCAGCTCCTAAAGCTCGGATCCAGGAGCTTCTTCTGTGCTGAACGATCCCCCAGCGAAAAGGTTTTAAACCTTGTTGCCGGACAACCGAGTTTTTTTTGTTTTTTGCTCGCCGTTTTGAGGGGAATCCAAAAGTTAAAGTCCAAAGAGGCAACTTAATAACAACTCACTTCCGATCGAGCGTACCAAGAAAAGAGGTAACCCAACTTGCTGTTTACCACTCAAATGGTCCAAGACCAAAAAGTGGCCAACGTCCGAAACGGCAGTCGAGTTTTGGGGGCTCCTCTTGTTCCACGCTCAAGGGAGCGCAGGCGGGCGCCTGGTAGTAGGTCCCCCCATCGAAGTTCACCGTGCAGCGTTCGCTGAGCGCCACCAGCTGCCCGGACCTCAAATGAGTCAGGGACCGGACCCTCTATGTTTGTTTTTTGGGGTACCCTCCCTCCCACTAACATGGCAACTGACAGGGGGTCCCTTCAAAAGGAATTTAATCTTCCACGTACCTCCCCACAGGTGCCATGTTAGTTGGAGGAAGGCCCCTTTTGTGGCATTTTTTATGGGAACCAAAAGGAAAACCGAAGCTCTTTTTGTTTTTTTGTTTTTTGTTTTGGGGGGGGTCCCCTAAAAAAGAAACACCCATATTTCGCTAGGTGAGTTTCCCTTGGTGGTGCTGCTTGTTTCAAGACTGAATACCGTGACATGTTTACTTGTTGTTCTTTGAATCTCGCTCTGTCTCTCTCTCTCTCTCTCTCTCTCTCTCTCTCTCTCGCTTTCGGACCCTGACTAAAATCGCAACAGGTCTCACTGGAAAACGACAATGCCAACCGGTACATTTGTTGGCTTGGGGCGACTGACCATATAGAACTTGGTTGCACTCTGAAAACAAGAGCTTCTGTCTCTCAAGCCAAGCGTTCCGAATCCCATGTGTGTGTGTGTGTGTGTTGTTTGTGTTTGTGTATGTTTGTGTGTTTTCTTGTCGCCATAATGCAATCAAGGCAGGCAACGAAAATCGGAAAGCATGACTTGATCAAAGTGATACTTCACACGAGTAGCTGCCAACTAAAAAACATGTACTGAACAAACAAAGCTTTTGATGAGAGGGTTGAGCTACGCGAGAAGCTCCTGCAACTTATTTTTCTGAACTGAACAACAAGATTCATCCGAGCTACACACACAATATTCATTGAGGGTTTCATTGACCACCCCCCCATGTTCTACATTTTCTGCTCAGTGCCATTCCCTCGCTTCCTGAGTGGAGTATGAACTTTTTGTTTATCACCAAATTTGCCTTCCCAAGAAAGCTTGCAGTCCAGGAACACAGATCGTGAGATAGGGACTCCTTTAAAACTGGGTCCATCCAAGCGAAATCCTGAACATTCCATTCCCCTGCTGGTTGACATGGCCAGGCCTTGCGCCCTTGCGCTCGCTTGGGCCTGCGCATGCTGATGATCTTCACCATACTCTCCTTGAAGTTGCCTGCAAATCCCCCGGCATGGCCCTTCGAAAGGAAGCGAACCATTTAGACCCCCGATCTTGAAAACCGATCGAGGAAGTCCCTGAAAACACTCCATAGCCTATGGGCCAAAAGGTTTTGGACGGTTTTGGCGGGCTCCCGAGTGATTTCCCCTTAAAACATCACCCCCACCAAGGGCTACTCACCTTTCATGGGCCAAAAAGGTGATGTTTAAAACCGCCAAAACAAGAGGAGCCCGGGAACCCAAAAGCAAACCAGCCTCACTCCCCATGGCATGTGGATCCCGTTGTTTTCCGGCTCAAGGGTCCGAAGGCAAACCAAGATTTAAGTTGTTAACAGTTGGGAAATCAACCCCAAAACAGATGAAGAAGGGGAGCAACCGCGACTCAAGCCGGATTGGCAGCCAGTAGCCTGTGCTCTGACCAAGCACAGAGAAAAAGGCAAAGGCACGGGTGAAACATGACAGGCCCCGCACTACATGGAAGGCACGAAGTCATCTGATTCATCATGAGGAGCGAAAACGCAGAAATCCGAAAATGGATCCGCACAAACTACCACTCCCAAATTGGAAGCAAGGCATAAGCTCGCTCTACACCCATCTGAGCTCGTGTTTGTGGCCCAGACGTGTTTTTGGCCCAGACTGAAACTCCAACATCTTGGAGGCAAGCAAAGAAGAATCAGTGACCGTTTCCTGTGAGCCATTTTCGCAGCGCGCCATCCATTTGGTCTGCCTGCTACACCAAAGAGCTGAGGCATCCCGAATGCTTCCAGAGTGGATCGATCAGAGAGCCGAGTGTGAACGTGCTTCCAGGCTGCTTCCAAATACGTAGGGCGAACCCCAAGAGGCTACAGCTTCTGAAGAGAGGGTTCGTCCTAGAAACACATTGGCGCCATTTGTTCGGGTCAGGTGTGCGGCAAAAAGGACAATTTTGGCGCACCTGGAACGCCGGGCTGTTCACACGGAGCCGTGCACGTGGCCTTCACAAACTTGCTTCGTAAGCTTGCTTGGATCGTTAGTTTCTCCACCTATTTTCCCATTCGCAACCAATTCCAACTGGTGACTTTGTGGAAAGGGCCGCGCACGTTGTGCCTCTTGGGGTTCGCCCTACTTATTTGGTAGCAGCCTGGAAGCACGTTGACATGAATATGCTGAGCACACTCGGCCCAAACAAAAGGGCGCATGAACATCCGAACAGCTGACCCCGGTCTACGCAGATCGTGGTAACACTGTGTTTCAGACTTGTTTCGGACAGGCGTCAGACCCTCAAGTGACCGAGGCTTGTCCACACCGAGCCCCCCGCAAAAGCGCAGCGCCGGCCCCGTCTCCACACACCTGCGGCAAATCCACCCAACTTGCCATCCACACGCATCCAATTGACTTCTGAAGAGAGGGTTCGTCCTAGAAACACATTGGCACCGTTTGTTCGGGTCAGGTGTGCGGAAAAAAGGACAATTATGGCGTACCTGGAACGCCGGGCTGTTCACATGGGGCCGCGCACGTGGCGGTTGCCGCGTGTCATGAGCGTCCACCGCGCCAGTCTCGCTCGACGGCATGTCACGGGCGTCCGCCGCGCCAGTCTCGCTCGCCGGCATGTCACGAGCGTCCACCGCGCCAGTCTCGCTCGCGGGCGGTTTCCGCATGTCACGAGCGTCCACCGCGCCAGTCTCGCTCGCGGGCGGTTTCCGCATGTCACGAGCGTCCACCGCGCCAGTCTCGCTCGCGGGCGGTTTCCGCATGTCACGAGTGTCCACCGCGCCAGTCTCGCTCGCGGGCGGTTTCCGCATGTCACGAGCGTCCACCGCGCCAGTCTCGCTCGCGGGCGGTTTCCGCATGTCACGAGCGTCCACCGCGCCAGTCTCGCTCGCGGGCGGTTTCCGCATGTCACGAGCGTCCACCGCGCCAGTCTCGCTCGCGGGCGGTTTCCGCATGTCACGAGCGTCCACCGCGCCAGTCTCGCTCGCGGGCGGTTTCCGCATGTCACGAGCGTCCACCGCGCCAGTCTCGCTCGCGGGCGGTTTCCGCATGTCACGAGCGTCCACCGCGCCAGTCTCGCTCGCGGGCGGTTTCCGCATGTCACGAGCGTCCACCGCGCCAGTCTCGCTCGCGGGCGGTTTCCGCATGTCACGAGCGTCCACCGCGCCAGTCTCGCTCGCGGGCGGTTTCCGCATGTCACGAGCGTCCACCGCGCCAGTCTCGCTCGCGGGCGGTTTCCGCATGTCACGAGCGTCCACCGCGCCAGTCTCGCTCGCGGGCGGTTTCCGCATGTCACAAGCGTCCACCGCGCCAGTCTCGCGCGGGCGGTTTCCGCATGTCACGAGCGTCCACCGCGCCAGTCTCGCTCGCGGGCGGTTTCCGCATGTCACGAGCGTCCACCGCGCCAGTCTCGCTCGCGGGCGGTTTCCGCATGTCACGAGCGTCCACCGCGCCAGTCTCGCTCGCGGGCGGTTTCCGCATGTCACGAGCGTCCACCGCGCCAGTCTCGCTCGCGGGCGGTTTCCGCATGTCACGAGCGTCCACCGCGCCAGTCTCGCTCGCGGGCGGTTTCCGCATGTCACGAGCGTCCACCGCGCCAGTCTCGCTCGCGGGCGGTTTCCGCATGTCACGAGCGTCCACCGCGCCAGTCTCGCTCGCGGGCGGTTTCCGCATGTCACGAGCGTCCACCGCGCCAGTCTCGCTCGCGGGCGGTTTCCGCATGTCACGAGCGTCCACCGCGCCAGTCTCGCTCGCGGGCGGTTTCCGCATGTCACGAGCGTCCACCGCGCCAGTCTCGCTCGCGGGCGGTTTCCGCATGTCACGAGCGTCCACCGCGCCAGTCTCGCTCGCGGGCGGTTTCCGCATGTCACGAGCGTCCACCGCGCCAGTCTCGCTCGCGGGCGGTTTCCGCATGTCACGAGCGTCCACCGCGCCAGTCTCGCTCGCGGGCGGTTTCCGCATGTCACGAGCGTCCACCGCGCCAGTCTCGCTCGCGGGCGGTTTCCGCATGTCACGAGCGTCCACCGCGCCAGTCTCGCTCGCGGGCGGTTTCCGCATGTCACGAGCGTCCACCGCGCCAGTCTCGCTCGCGGGCGGTTTCCGCATGTCACGAGCGTCCACCGCGCCAGTCTCGCTCGCGGGCGGTTTCATGTCACGAGCGTCGCAGCCAGCGTCCACCGTGCCAGCTCGCTCGCGGGCGGTTTCCGCATGTCACGAGCGTCCACCGCGCCAGTCTCGCTCGCGGGCGGTTTCCGCATGTCACGAGCGTCCACCGTGCCAGTCTCGCTCGCGGGCGGTTTCCGCATGTCACGAGCGTCCACCGCGCCAGTCTCGCTCGCGGGCGGTTTCCGCATGTCACGAGCGTCCACCGCGCCAGTCTCGCTCGCGGGCGGTTTCCGCATGTCACTAGCGTCCACCGCGCCAGTCTCGCTCGCGGGCGGTTTCCGCATGTCACGAGCGTCCACCGCGCCAGTCTCGCTCGCGGGCGGTTTCCAGCCAGCCTCGCACGCCCAGTCTGCACCACACCGCCGTCCCCCCAGCCAGCCAGTCTCGCTCGCGGGCGGTTTCCAGCCAGCCTCGCGCGCCCAGTCTGCGTCCCCCCAACCAGCCAGTCTCGCTCGCGGGCAGTTTCCAGCCAGCCTCGCGCACCCAGTCCAGCCAGCCAGTCTCGCTCGCGGGCAGTTTCCAGCCAGCCTCGCGCACCCAGTCTGCACCACACCGCCGTCCCCCCAGCCAGCCCCACACCGCCGTCCCCCCAGCCAGCCTCGCACGCCCGGTCTACCCCCAGCCGGCATCGCACGCCCGGTCTGCAGCACAACGAAATGGAAATCCCTTCTTATCTCCGTCGTCACAGCTTGTATCGCTCCCAGGAACCTTAAGAGAAAACCTAAAGCAGAACCCAAGCATCAGAGATGCTTTTGGGAAAAAGGAAATATCGGGACCCCGGTGTTTTTGCCCCGGCAAGGGAATGGAGCTGGGGTGGCTCATGGACCCCTTTTACCAGTTGGGTTCCATCCGAGCGGACACCTGCACGAGAAGGGCGGGCTCATTTGTTCCTCAGAAGAGTCTTCCCAAATCTCAGCGAAGATTTGCCGGCTTCATTGAATCTAGGTCCAGGACGGGAAGCCTCTCGCATGCCAAATCTCTCGGTTGTTTGCATCGACTCCTTCAATAGGCGTGCTTCACACGAGCCCAGATTCGTGGTGTGCCCGACGTTTTGTGGTGAACCAACTTGCTTCCTTCCCGAGAAAGCCGCCTCTCAGAAAGAACTAAGGTTTGAGCGATGATCATGATAATTGCACGAATTCGGATTCAGAACTCCCCTTTTGATCTGTTGGTCATGCTTAAGTGGGCGCGCCTTCCAGCTTGAGCAACTTCTGATTGTTCACGTCGCGGAGCAAGTACTGCCGACCTTAGCACTCGCTGGGGACTGGGGGTCTGTCAATGCAGTGCTTTTTGAGACGGTGACTAAAACTGACTCAAAGCCGGGGGAAGCATGATAGCGTGTGATTTTCCGATTCTTTTTAACCATCTGCCATTTTGTGCTTCAACCGCTAGTTGGCTTTCTGGAACGCTCGGACCCCTGTCGAAACACAGCGAAACTGCCCCAAGGGAAAAGTGGAATATTTTCCCTAGAGTAGCGGCTGGGTCGGAAGCCCTCTTCAATTAGCCCGAAGTATTTAGTTGAGGTGAAGTTGCAATCTGGCAGGAGGTCAATCGAGGGGGCATTCAGGGGCCCCATCCTCAGAATATGTTTCATTGTGTCCCAGGCAACCTTAAAACATACGGTCACCTTACACAGGTCCCAGGCACAAACACAGATGCCATGGTGTCTGTGAGGCAGAGGGTGCTTAAGGCTTGCATGCGGCCCTTCGACATCTTCAACCAGGTGCATTCTCCTTAATTGGTGATTTGGATTGGTGATTTGGGGATTTGAACCCCACTTCCTTCTGAAGCTAGGTTCTTGGTTTGCCGTGTGTGTCGATGTAGGCAACGGCAAGGGCCACGCTGCGTACACGAGCCGAGTTGTTCTTTTCTATTGCAGAAGCGGGGTGCTGTACCTGAGTCATAATCAAACCCTGGCAAAATGGCCTACCTAGAACCATGTAACAGCTATCTATGGTTGGGATTGTCCCTTAGAAACCTTCATCTACCCGGGTTTTGATTGTGACCCACCTGAGGTAAGATATTTTCATCATGGGTCCAAGGGTGAGCTCGATAAGAACGAACTCAATGCCATTCCGACTTCGGAACGAGGCTCTGACCCCAGCCCTTTTCCACCGTGCAGTAGACCTGGCCGCTCTCGGCTTTCGCAGAGCCGGCTGCGACGGCAAGCGGTGAGAACATCACCCCCGGTTCGGTTTCATGTGGCTGTGCTCCTCCCTTACGAACGGATCTTTATCTGATTCAAGCTGCCAAACAGCCAGGTTTCTTGAAAGAACGATGGATGAGACACCCGGAAAGTCAAACTCTTAGATGCTTAACCAAGGACACAAACCCAGAAAACGGAATCCCCAAGACAGGAATCTTGATCCGAATGCCCGGCACACGGGTCGAACACGGAAACCAAAGCAACCCCTTCGCCCATTTCCGCCCTTGGCATTTGGTCCTCTTTCTCGGCTCGGAGCAACCCTAAGGGTGGTCTGTTCTCCACATGTTGGCAGGTAGAACCCCTCCTGAGGGCTGTGGGGTCCCTTCTCCGGAGGCATTGAACCTTCCGACTCCCAAAAAAGGAACCTCCTCGCCCCCGCGCCTCCCCGGAGGGCAGGCAGATCTGCGGTAGGCCGCTGGGCCAGGCGTACAGCACGTCCGTGCCTCCGTGAAAGCCACGTGCGAGACGAGGAGAAAAAGGCTCAGAGGGGCCCCTCTTTCTCACCTGCTGAGTGGATGGCCCGAAAAAAGTCCAAACTTTATATTTGCCACTAAAATTGTCTTCCCAAAAAGTTTAAAGTTCATGGACTCAGGAAGTGAGCTTTAGGGGCTACAGAAGACTGTTGGGATGGTTGCGAAATCCGCTCAGCACCGTTCAGAAGCCCTGGTTTCTGATGATTCACCTGTTTGTACGAACGAGCAACTGCTTCCCAGGGTTTCAAAGTGGTGCGAGCGGATTTTGTCAATTCACAGCATGGTTCCTGTACTTCCCCAGGCTTTGGCTTGTCTGAAGTTGCATCCCAAGTCAAGCTAGTGACAGTCGGCCTGGCAAGGCCCCTGACCATGGGATTTCTACCACACATATATGGACGGGGCTTGGCTTTGTTGAGGGCACCCTTTTTGAGTTGCTAAGATGACTTTGGGTTGCCTCAAATGGAATCAAAAAGGACCCCCCCAATTTTTGGGAGTTTGTCCATGTAGACGCAAACTCACAAGAATCAAGCCAGCACAATCTGGCTTTTAGTTCCTTGTGGAAGCCAGAACATTTTGGTTCCACACTCAGCACAATTCTTTGCTAGGACATGTGCTAATCACCATGACATTTGAGACTCAAACGAGAGGGACCCCGGAATCATGGCAGAGTTGATGGGAGACACCTGATGCATTAGCTCGTACATAGGACATACGGTGGATGGTAAGACAATCCACGCGAACTTGCCCATCAGGACCTTCAAGCGGCTGGCTGTGGAGGTGGAAAATGGGCACATGCCCCTGGCGGTCTGGGGTTCCTCCAGAAAGAGGACAACGCCACTGCAGGGAAGGGGGTGGGGTAGAAGACGGGTTTGAATCCATTCAAATGGGGTTTCCCTGTGAGCCAAGCTGAAGAGGGTACCCGTAAGCAAGCAAACAAACAACCAAGCCAAAACAAAACCCAACAACAAAACAGAACAACGACAAACGGACGAACGCACAAAAGAACGAACAATCAAACAATCAAATCAATCAAGCAAGCAACCAAGCAACCAAGCAAACATACACAAACAAGCAAACAAGCAAACAAGCAAACGCACAAGCAAGCAAGCAAGCAAGCAAAGCAAGGCAAGGCAAAGCAAAGCAAGCAAGGCAACTCACAACCCACCAACACAATCAACAACAGCAAACAAACAAACAAACAAACAAACAAACAAACAAACAAACAAACAAACAAACAAACAAACAAACAAACAAACAAACAAACAAACAAACAAACACACACCATAACAAACCATAACAAACCATAACAAACCATAACAAACCATAACACACCATAACAAACCATAACAAACCATAACAAACCATAAGAAACCATAACAAACAACTAACCAACCAAACAGACAAGCAAAATCAATCGAACACACAAGCAAGCAAGCAAGCAGCAAGCAAGCAGGCAAGCAAGCAGGCAACCAAGCAAGCATCCAATCCAATCCAATCCAATCCAATCCAATCCAATCCAATCCAATCCAATCCAATCCAATCCAACCAAATCAAAACAATCGGTCAAACACACAAACAAACAAACACGCAAACACACAACCACACACATAAACAAACAAACCAACCAACCAACCAACAAACAATCAATCAACCAACCAAACAAACAAGCAAACACATCAACAAAAAACGGCCCTTCAGTTCCTCACCACCTAAGCCTCTCACGCACGGAGGCCAAGGGCTCCCTGTCCAGCATCTGCAGGAACAAGCCGCACTGGGGCCTGCTATGCAACCCAGCCCACCAGCGACCCCGAAAGCCGTCTTCAAAGGGAACCGCTCGTCTCTTTTCTCTGGGGTGACAATCAGTCTAGGGCCAAAACAGAAAAAGGACAAAGGTTAAGCATGAGCACCTGAAGCCCAAACTTGTCACCGGACACTGAGTTGCTTGTTGTTCAATGCGTTGAATGTTGTTCGCCTCGCTTCGTGCCTTCCTTGGCACAACATGCTTGAACCATTCAAACTTGAAACAACGAGTCTGAACAAGGACGACTCAATTTGAGCGCCCGACATCCAGCGACTTGGAACACGACAAACATGATGATCAAGGTTTGAGTTGGCGACCAGGTGGTCAAAACCATTATAGGGTTTTGTGCGCTCAATTGGAGAATGTATGGCTGGTGCACGCCCCGTGTCCCCCCAACCTGCTTGGCAAAGAGGAGAATGGTGAAATCCACCGTCGGCAACAGGGCTGTTGAATCAACGATGGTTGAACCTACGGAACCTGGTTCAGCTTCTTGGCACCAACCCGAGCGAGGAAACAGCCAAAGCGACTGACAGCCAAAGAGGCATGGACGAACATGGCGCATTCCGACAACCGCCCCTGTCAAAAAAAACAAAAACGGCCCTTTCTGGCTGATGTCCGGAAACTTCCGAATTGTTCCTAGTGCAAACGACTCAGATCCCCTCCGCGCCCAGAGCCGGACTCGTTCACGATGACGTGGCCTCAGACCCGGCACAGGCCAAACCGACCGAACAAACCCGCAAACGAACAAGCCAAGCAAGCAATCGAACATAGTCTCACAAACACTCACACAAACACGAACCAAACACACCTACACAAACACACAACACACAACACACAACACACAACACACACACAGCCACACCAACACCCTCACACTTCCGTATCACGGGTACACCTTCCTTAGGACCATGGTTACTTTCCTGTCCGAGTCGCAAGGAATGTGCCCCTCATTCGCCCTCACCTCTGGGAGATTAGCCCTGGTCCCCGGTAGACTCCCTGGAATATTCTGCTCGCATGAGAAGCCTCTGACATGGAAGCCTCGGGCGCTGACCTTTGCCATCGCATCCCCAGCCCAGTGAATTCCAAAAGGGAGGGGGGTGCTGCCATTGCCCCTAAGAAGTAGAATTCCCTCGAAGCAACCCTGGACCCAGGAACCCTCTCCGGCAGCTGAATGATATGCCTGTTTCTGGTCCATAGTGAAACCTCAAATGTAAAATCATGTCAAAAGAGATCCCAGACTTGAGATGCACCCCTGAGTGACGCCAGAACGCTGCCTCTTTTTCGGAACCGGACTTAAGAATACAAAGGGCGGCAAATATACTTGGCCGAACACCTTGCATCGGCTTCCGCCCAAACAATTTCAATGCAAGAATCAGCCGTGTAGATGTAAGTAATTCTGTCAGAAAGTAGCATTACAAGTGAACAACGCGTGCTTAAGTAGCCATTTTTTTAATGCGCGAGACAACTTTTCTGGGCCTGCGGCTGAGCGGGGAACCTTCCAAGTCCACGATGCTAAATGAGAGCCTCGGCATGTCGAGAAGGCTCCTCCGTCCTCCGTGGGTTGGGATTCCCAGGTCTGAACCTCTTTGCTACGAAATGGGACCAAGCTCGGACGCAGAAAGTCGGAGCCACCTGATATTATCCACAATATTGAGGTCACCGACGCAGGAAAGCCCTATATATATGTATGTGTATATATATATATATCGTACATATATATATATATATGTATTGTATATACTCAGCTAACATTGGGTCCATTTCAGCTGGGGCCGACTTTCTGGGTCCAAGGTTGGCCCGTTTGATTGCTACTGTAAATGGTCTTCTCGAAAATAATGAATCCAGAAACCTGGAAAGTAAGTTCCCAACATCCATCTCGGTGAACCAATGATTGGGAAAGCTTAAGATTCTTCTACAAACGATCCCCTTTCACTCATTTGGGGTTGACGACATTCACAACCATTATATACAACTGTTTCCCGGGAGCTCGCGCCTTTGCTGTGTACAACCATTTCTTATTCGGGTTGATCATCGTTTTTCTGGGCGCGCCCGCCATTTGAGTGTACTCCCCAGCAAATGTTTTGAGGAAAGGAAAATGGAACCCATTTTTCTTAAGGGGTTGCAGGCCGTGTTCACGGGGGATCCCAAACAAAACGGGATTGTATGGGTCAATATGGGTCTCTCCCCCAAGAAATAGGGGGTGCACAGTGGCCCCTTTCCGGACCTGCTGAGTTGAGTAAGCTTTTTGGTCCCAGGCCAAAATGAAAATATCACCCAGCAACAAAACGGTCAACGTTTAGGAAGCTGGTCAGACAACTTTTGGACTCGTGTCCTTCAAAGGGTGCAGCGATTCATGATACTTGGCAATCAATCCTTTGGGGGGCGCCAACCTCGGATGATGAACCCAACTGGATTAGGGCAAGCTGCTTCGAAAACAGCATCAAGCCGTGCAACATTTCGGCCACTCCTAGGATTTGCTTCAAGTACAGGACCTACATCCTGGTTTCATTTTACCCTGGGTAGGCTGGGATCAGATAGGGACCGGCGCTCGGCGTCGATCTCGGTGCGTGGCTCTTGCCTTGAGCCGCAGAGAACCTGCGAGAGACGAAGCGATTCTCCTGTCCCAAACTTGGTTGCTGAGCGGCCCCCCACCCGCAGCAAAAAAAAACACTCCAGCATCCGGTTTTTAAGTTTCACCTTGGTTGCTGGAACGACCCCTCTGCAAAAAATGGATCACTTTTTGTGGGTTTACTGGAAAACCCCTTGATTTCAACCAAGAAGTTCAAGTCCAAAGATCCAACCCAATAGCAGAAAAGAAAAATGGGCAGTTTCATTTTCGAGGAGTCATCAGGGAGCTTCCCTCCCATCGCGTGGGAACTGTGGGGTGGCTGGAAGGGCAAGCTGACAAGGACTTGGCTCCTCTGAATCGGCTGGGTAAGCTGTCACATCCTTTTAGGACCCAAGGCAGCTCCATCGGTGCAGCTATAAAGGGGGTTTCTTGGGTTTGCTAACAAACACCTCGTGTCCAAACTTGCAGGGTGCTTTTTGCAAGGGAGAACGGTCGAATTGCCAACCCATTCCCCTTTGACGCTCCTCGGGAAGGTTACACATGCTTGGCCAGTTAGCACCCTCCTCTGCAAGTCATACCAGGTCGCAACGAATGAACTTTCACACCAGCCATCCGCCAGGGTGCTGACGGACCTGAAGAACTTGGCCCTAGGGTATGTGCCATGTGCATCAAGTCCCCCAAAACCGACGAATAGAAAGCATGTGGCCTCTGGAGGAATCCTACAGCTAGGGTCCAAACACACCGAGCTTGGCTCTTCCAAGAGAGGGTGTGTGTGTGTGTGTGCGTGTGTAGTCGAACTAATCTAAGAGCACTTTCCGATTTCAGGTTCCCTTTAAAAGAGCGTCTTGGAGCTTTAGGCCCTGCAGTGACTGACCCTGGCGCCGCATGCGCCGCCTCCCGCACAGCAAACACAAACTCCATGCCGGGAGGCACCACCTGAGGTGATTGGCGGGCAATTCGCGGGTTGGCACAGGGCAAACACGTAGGGTGTGTCTTCAAAAAAAGACTCCAACAAAATGGAACATGTCCTTTTCATTGCCCTTAAAACCAACCAAAAAGGTGTTCTAAACAAAGCCACCCGCACGTGGCAGCGCTGACAGAGGAAATCAACAGAAAGTGGCCCGCAGAAAAAGACGCCGTGTTCAAACACCCTCCGTTTGTTTTCCATTACTCACTTCCTGAGTGGATTGGCGAAAAAGAGTCTGAACTTTTGCTTTACCACTAACATGGCCTGGCCAAAAACAAGTCCATGAGCTCAGGGAGTGAGCCCACTCCCGCCATCCATTTGGCATTTGGTAGAATCGAGGCCGGCGCCAGGCACGGGCAAAGCGTGTCCTCCTCCTCAGACCGCGGAGACCAGCTGAACATCCCGCCCTCCTCCCCTGGCCGCTGACATCTCTGCCGATGGCTCTCGCAGCCGAGTTCCTTTGGCCAGTCGCAACCGAAGTGATGAGAAAAATCGCCCCCAAACCACTTGATTGGCCTGGGCACCGAAAAGAACAAGGGAACCACTAAAGAACAAAGAGCTTGCTGACATGAAGGTAATTCGCTTCAACAAGTGGAACACTGCTCGGCACTGGGTTCACGCCACTTCCAGTAATGCCCAATGCCCAACCAACCCCCAACCCCCAACAACCTGCAGTCAACTCCCAACGAACCAAACCCCCAACCCCAACATCCAAACCCCAACAACCCCCAACAACCCCCCAATCAACCCCCAGCAAAACCACCCTCTCCGCCCCACTCCACCCAGCACCACGCTTTGCCATGCCCGCTCCGCCTCCCACGTGCGACGGCCGCCGGGGAGATGGCAGCGACGTGGCCGAAGCCGCCGGAACCGACACCGCGCCTCGGCGTGGGGAGAGCTCGTTCCATTTGCTTCCTCCCCCTGGAGAAAATGCACATATTTTCAGTGGTGATAAATTCCCTTTGAAACCAACAAGGGGAAATAGCCAGTATTGCTAAGCAAATGGAAGTGGGTGAAAGTAGATGGCACAACTCTTCCATCTTGGTTCTTAATCATCCCGGTACTTACTCACACACACATATAAACGGAATCGTGCCATCTACTTTCACACTGCTGTAATGTTGACCCCCGATGAATAACCCTGCCCAACTTCTTAATCAGGGTGGTCATCTCTGGGAGAATGGGGGTAGCGGCCTGACAGTCGTGAACACTATCTTGGAAAATCCGTGCTTTTGTGAGTCTCAGCCGGCTATGACGCATTGAACCATCCCTGGTTCATTTAGTATAAGGGGATTCCTAGGTTTATTCCCGAAGCCCTTGGCGACTCCCTGAGAACCAGCAATAAGTCAGTGACTGAGCCAACTTTCCAACTCGGTCCATTGAAATGACAGTCTCAAAATTACCCTCCAAAAGGTTGTTCAAAGGGAACCCACCCCCCAAAAAAGAAGAGTAATTTTGAGAACCCCTCAACACGTTCACCCTTGAGGGACCCAGTCAACATAGCAACTGGTCCATGAAAAGCTGAACACTTGGAATTTTGGGCCTGCGGAAGCCAGTGGAACCCGGTATTCTGTGGACGGACGGCCCGGGAGACGGGGGAGGAGGGAGGGCAAACACGTCAATCAGAGCAAGGCCAAGAAGTAAAAAACACCAACAACAACCCAAACAAACAAACCAATAAATCAACGCAAATCAGGCAAGCAACCAACCAACCAACCAACCAACCAACCAACCAACCAACCCACCCACCCACCCACCCACCCACCCAACCCAACCCAACCCAACCCAACCCAACCCAACCCAACCCCAACCCAACCCAACCCAACCCAACCCAACCCAACCCAACCCAACCAACCAACCAATCATCCCAACCACCCCCAAGCCCAACCCCTCAGCCGTTTCACCGGCCCTGATGCCCATGCCGTCATTTGCCCTTCGTTTGGCCCAGGTGCTGTAAGGAACCCCCGCCGCGGGTGCAGGGAAAGTCCTGGCCGAGTGGCGCGAACCGACAGTTTTGCACGGCGCGGGGCATCCGCAAATCGCACATTCCAAGGTGGGGTTCCACTGCCCAAACCACCATCCACATGACTTGGTTGACGTTGGAAGGGGAGCAACAAATCAAATTCTAGCAGTTAAGTGGTTGGAATTCAACCACTAAACCACAACAAGCAAAAATATAAAATGTTTCCCAACAACAACCACGTTCCACAGCCCAAACCACTATCCACATGTGCAGGAAAACTCGACTGGTAGAGGGTTTATGCCCTTGCGACTAGTGGTTGGAACCCTTCATTCCCATCAGAAATGCAGGTAAACTGCTACGTGACCGGTAGAGGGTTGATGTCCGATTTGTCTGGTGGTTCGGGCGTGGGAACTGTTTATTGCTCCCGTAGGAAAGGTGTGGTGAGGCTTGGTCATGGGGGTGTACAAGGTCAGGGTGTGTAAGATGAGAGGATGTTTTCTATGATCTTACTCACACCAAAATTCAAAGGGGAAGGTGTTTAACCATCGGTGGTTCCAAGTTGAATCCCATTTTGACCCATTTCAAGGAAGCATGTTGTTTGCAAGGAAACTCCTCGCTGACTATGTCGCCTATGAGCATCGAGCAACATGGAAGCATGCCTGGGCTTGTAGTGTTGCGGTTGTGAAGTTCAAGCAGGGCTCCCCATATTTCTCCTTAAAACATCACCCCGCCCAAACAAAAAGCTCATCTTAAATCGGCCCAAAACTTGCTGGTGCTTAGCAGGGAATGAGGGAATGACCCTTATAAACTATCCCTTGTGGTTTCCTCTTAGGGGACCAAAGCCTGGGCTCATTCCCGTACTCCCCACTCATCGCACCACGATGTTCGTGGCAAAAAGCTCGGACTCTCGGCCAACCCAGTCAAGTGAGGCCTTGCTTACTGTGTCCTTTGGGATCTGGTTCCTTGACCGATGGAAGCCAAGGTTCTATCGTAATGTTGACCCCGGAAAATAAGGCCAATCTTACTACTGGGCGGGTCTTCCCCTCGCATGACTCCACTAAAGGGGGTGCACCAGCAACAGGAAGAAAAGCTGTTGTTCAACACATCCAAGAAGGGAGATTCAGGGCATCCCTGAGAAAGGAACCACAGAGAGTCCCCTCTGCGCACCTTGCGTTGCCGCCCTTCACGCCTCAGGTGAGCTTACACACACACCAATCCGTGCAAAAAGGCCTCCGAAAGCCCAGGGGAGGTTCGACAAGATGATCTGCACTTATTACAATTCCAAAACATGACATCATCTCCGTCTGCTTAAGTCCTCTGGAACAACATGCATATCCAGTAGTGATAGATTGCCTCTAAAACCAACATTTGTTTTGCCTAAGCACATGGGAGATTACAAATGCATCAGCAAGGGCCTCCTTGGGCTTTCGCTCGATTCCGCCCCCAAATCTGCATTGCTCAGAATGATGCGATGACTTCCCCAAAGACCTGCAGCTCTGAAACAGACTTCCTTACAGGATACACCCAAAACCACCACCGCTACGAGGGGATGCTCTAAAGCTGGTGAAACCTTTCTGGTCACTGGCCACGCATTCTTTCAGAGACCCACGGGCTCAGAGGCGGTAGGGGCTTGCACCCCGGGCGACTCAAGACCCCGCCAAACCACCCATTCGAGGGAGCCTGCATTTTGCGCAAGTCTCCTGGGGGGAAACATGTGTCCAACAGCGATATCGATTCAACTTGAAACCAAAGGAAGCTAAAAACACAGAAGTGATAGACTCCCTTTGCAACCAACAAAGGATAATCAAACAACACATGTTCCGAAGCAAAAAAAAGTCTGGGCTACACCGCCCAACTATTGCCAACAAGTGCCCTGAGCTCCCGGCTGGGACGAGCGCGGAGGCGGCTAGTTGCCTACGGGCCAGCACGGCTGTTGAACGGGACATGCCAAAGGAGAGCCTCTGAAAATCAGCAACTGCTTCACTGGGCTGATCCAAATGCAATCCATACCCATGTGCAATGACCACCAAGGGGACTTACCTAAACCCAGAGGAACAACAGTCCAACGTTGTTCGCAGGTTCTGATCTCCCCACCTCTGCCGCTGACAGCACCGCCGCCGCGGTGGAATCGCGAGGCGCCTCATTTCTTTTGGGGGCGATTCTATGGGTCGGTCCGATTTTTGAGGGTACCCTTCTCGGTGCTGGTTTTATAGGGAAGCCAGAAGAGCACCAACCATCTTTGGAATCCCCTTAAAAAGACACAGCCCTGGAGGGTTCCTTTCGGGTGCTACTTTTAGGGGGTCCAATTGCGCTTAAGGGCGCCAAAGAGAACCCCCAGAATATGACAAGCCACCAAAAGGGACCGCAAGGGTGACTGAACTGGGACCACTCGGAAATTCCAGCTGACCAGGCGACCACTTTGAAAACGCCTGTTTGGGCCGCAAACTGTCAATACTTCCTATGGAAGTGGCTTCGCCAAAGCTCCATGTTATATAATTTGCAGGGGTCCAAGGAAGGGACCTCAATGCAAGCGCACCAAAAGGCTCGGCATTTACCATGGACCTGGAGAGCACAGCTTTTTCGGCATTAGGGACATGCTGCTGCACGTTCCCCTGAATACACGTGAAAAGGCGAAAAGCTCAACTGTCGAAAAATGATCTCATGTGTTTTTCAGACTTCTGCCGCGTGGATGCTAATCCACCCGTTCTACCGGTTGTAAGGAACGGAAGAACTGAGGCTTATGGCTTCATCTGCGTTGTGAGCAAATCGACATGTTGCCCTTGTTTGACCTTTACAACTTCAGCATTTGGCCCCAGCCAACCATATTTTTCATAGAGGTCCATGTATATTTGGTGAGCCTTTTGCAGAAGCTCAAAGATCTGAGTTGGACGCCCTACACAAACCGACGCGGAGACCTGGCATGGGCATTGCCATGTTCCCCAGTCAGAACCCCCCCAAAACAAACCTCAAGGGCTTGTGCCATTTCCGGATTTTCGGGGTTCGGATCGACTCCCTGGCATTGAATGCACAGGTCTTGCAGGGTATTTTTTGGGGCGTACTGAAACCTTTGAGCTTCTGCAAAAGGCTCACCAAATATACATGGATCACAATGAACATTGCAGGCTGGGGCCAAATGCTGAATTCTTGTCCACCAGGTTTCGCTCACGGGTGTCCGCTCTGGGCATGCGGGCCGGACAGCGCGTCACCGGGCGCTTGCCATCACCAGCGGTGTCGGGCCTGCGTCATGACAACTCCCACGTCGGCAAGTCGAGGAACAACGGTTGGCCCAAAAAAGTCGTCCACCTTGAGTTTGTTGCTCCAAGAAAAAAAAACAAAAGCCGTAGGCTGCTTGCTTTCCTCTCGCTTCCTGACTGCAAGAAAGCCCAACAAGTTTCCGTCTAAACGGTCAAGTTGAGAAGCTGATCTCAGGGAGTAAGCTGAGGTTTACCTTTGACTTAGCCCCACCCGTCCTGAGCCGACAGAAAAAACGAAACGGCCTGAACTATTCCGAAAGCCCCAAGCTGAGAGCTCGCGGCGTGCGAGGAAAACGAGGCCCGCGCGGGTGGGTGCAGAAGGCCTTAGCACTGAGCCGGGGGCAGCTGGCTTTTGACCGTTTCACCCACATCTTAGACTCACGTCCCATCGAGTGGATTGGCAAAAAGAAAGTCCTGCAACTTTTGTTTTACCACTAACATGGTCCAAACCCAAGCAGTGACTAAAGTCCGAAACAGAACTCAGGAAGTGAGTAGATGACAACAGTGGTCGCACCCTGAAAATTCTTGGTCGCTCCACAAAGTGTGGCTGCTTTTTGCCAGTGAACGAATCCAAGCAAATAGCTCCCAAATGCTCCCAAGAACGGCTTGGAACCTGGGGAAGCCCCGTTCACATGCGTGCTTTCCAGGCGCGGACGCGTTGGAGTGACTGGGTTCTGGCTGAATCCATCTGCCCCAACGGGGGCGCCATCAGCAATTTTGACCCCGGACGGCTAGACCCCTTGATCGATGGTGTCCCGATTGTTAGAGCGGGTCCTTCACTTTCGGATGGGGGGGGAAGAGGGGGAGACCCCCTTCCGCAACTGATGCCACAGGTTCTTGGCTAGTCCTGGTCACCAACCAGAGTTTCGATTGAGTTTCTTTCTTCCAGGGGGTCACTAAGCCCCCAGCGATGACCACGGTCATGGCAATCACTAAGGTCAAAAGACCTGCACGCACAAAGGCGAAAGGAACCATGCCAAACCCACTTGTCCAAACGCGCCAAGGTGAAAGCATCCTTTCAAAGGAGTGACGTCTGTCAGGGGCCAGTCAGCACAATGAGTCAGATCGCGCCTGCAACCAGGATGGCAGGATCCAAAGCACCTCTGCAACAAATGGTGAAAGGCTTGGGAAGTTCAAAGCATCCAGAGATCAAACAGCACCTTGCTAGGGCCCTGAAACGGGAAAGTGCTCTTTGATTGTTGGGTTTCCCATCCCTTTTTGCGGGCTTCCCCTTCTCTTGGGCAATTCTGTGAAGAGAATGATCGGTCCTGCCAGTGATAGTAGGCCAGAAGTTAAAAAACAAACGGTCAACAAGTTGTCATTGGGCAAGTGAGTTGTCCCAGCATCTCACAATATCTCACATCTCGAGTGGAGCCAACTCGAGTCCAAACTCTTTCTTTGCCACTAGATTATTGTTCCTAAAACATGACTAGTGGGGAAGTCATTCAATCCGATAACATGGGCTACTCCAGAGGCCCTGTCACAAAGGTAGAATTCTTGTTCCCACGAAGAAAAAACAAAAGGACCCGAACACCAAATACATGTCTCTCTCTCTCCCTCTCTTTTTCTACAATTCTACCCTCGTTGTTTGGTCGCTGTTTAACAGTTCGGCAAGAAAACAGCCAATTTGCAGGAGAGTAAAGTGGTCCTCCAAACTATTCCCAAGTCAGCGTTACCCAGAATTTTCCACCTAGAAGCCAATAAACAAGTGTGTTGTTTGGGGGACTGGTATGGCCCGTGCACAGCTGCTGTACAATCCGTGCTAACAGTCAACAATCTGTAAACAGCCACACAACAAATTGCAACCAGAATGCCCACATGGCTTACCAATAGGACCCGGATCCAGTTGCAGTTTAGGTTCACCTCTTGTTAGCACTCATTCACTCACTTCCCGAATGATTTGGCCAACATGTACTTGCCCCAATTTATGGCCCCACCCAACTCAAGTCCAGAAACACGGGGAGCAAAACCAATGATCTGAAACACCAACCCCCCCTTTTTCGCGGGCCCTCCCTCCGGGTTCAGCGCTCCGTCGCACCACCCCCACGTTGGTCTGCAAGAGGCCCAGGGACCGTGTGAGGCGCTGCCAGAGATGACTGCCTCGGATCAGATTGGATAGCGCTTTTCTTGTGCTAAAGTCAGCTCTAGTTGGTGGCTTGGAGGTGGTTTCGCGTGGTTTTCCAGCCACCCACTGCGGGTCGCCCTGTTGGGCTGAAGGGAAAACCAAAGGAAGCCAAATGAAGCGTTTCTTGCCTAACACGGCTTTTTGAGACACCCGTGAAGTCTTGGGCATGACCCCCTTGACATCTGTCTCTCAAATGAGCATGTCAACTCCCCCGCCGGGCGCCACGCCGTGCTTCGTGGTCGGCATCGGCTCTGGGGCCTGTACAGCTGAGCTCTGAATGCAATCGGCGAAGTGTACAAAGCACACTCTCGGAATGCGAAGGTATACAACCACTGCGTAGCCGCTGCATTGGTTATATATATATATATATTATGAGGAACGTTCATGAAGCAAACCGAGGCCCCTTGTGAGGTTGATTGCTCAGGACATTCATCTTCAAGGGCCGCTTTGCCAATTGGAACCCATTTGCCGCAAATCCCTCATAGGTATCGTGGGATCCTTCACTTTCGGGATGGCACCCCCTGTGGATGGGCAAACTCCCGCACCGTCCAGACACCTTGGGCCATGATTCGATTCCCGTGTAAATACCGACCAACTTTGTGGCAACCACGGTAACCCATTTCGGGGTGCTTCCCCAATGTCGCAACCATCCACAGTATTAAGCCAGATCCTGTATGGTTTGGTGAAGTGTGGTATAGTATGGATGCCATAATACAGCATGGAATGGTTTAGTATGAAGTGGCATGGTAGAGTTGGTTGGTGAGGCTGTTTGCTTGTTTCTTTGACTGTCTGTTATGGGCTAACTCCTGCACCATAGCCAAAAACAAATTGGTGGTCCCCTAGTTTCAGAGTGCTGCGGACGGATTTCGCAACCATCCACAGCAAGCCAGGTTTTCCAAAAAAAGGGTTCCTAGTCCATCCGTCCACGCCTCAACCTCGATGTCCTCCGACGACACGGAAGGGAGCGGAGCCTGGCGTAGCTTTCAGAGAGATCGGCAGCCGGAGACAACTTGCAAGGGCAGTTGGATAAAGCCTGTCAGGACCTGTCTTCTAGGCTGCAATGGCTACCCTTCCAAAGGCTATGCGAGTCTGAAACACTATTTGTTGCCTATCCCCAAGTCGAAAAAACTTGCCATCATCCACGGGGAAAAGGGCTTGTTTATTGCGTGGGAAATCACACCTCCCTTCTTACATTCACTAGGTGGTGCGCGGACGTTGCCAGGCTGTCTGGCTTGTGATTGGAGGCCTCAACTTTGTTCCTTTGCTCGGTGGCAAGCAGCTAAATGGTCATCTCCCGCTCGTTTGCCCCTACCTTCAATCAACCTAGCTGCAATGAAAGCTCGCTTCAGGCCCATTTGCCTGTACCAGTCCCATAGTGGCCACCGGGGAAAAAAGACACCAACAGATCTAAACTTGTCGAGATGAATCTGACCCCCTGCAAAAGTTTGGTTTCCGCATCCCCATGGTCGGCAACGTTCACGGACGGATTGCTTTGACTGTTTGCTGGTTGAAAGGGAAAATGAAGGACACTCAGAAGAGTTTGCTTAAGCCCCCCCGGAAAAAAACAACATCAGCAACAACATATTTCCAGTAGTGATAGATTCCAATTAAAACCAACAGGGGAAAATAAACAATCTTCTTAAGCAAACGAAGGGCAGAAAAGCAATACATGACCAGCCAGCAAGCCCAACTCGTGCACAAGCCCGCTGGTCCATACTGTGAATGGACAGAATCCTGCACCACTTGGGATGGATGTGCAACTGGTGCAGGAAAACAATCCACTGTATTTTCGCGCGCTGTTCAGTGCAAAACAATCCAAGAGAGGAGTGTCAGTGTCGGCCAGCGCCCTTTTTCTTGGAGATCTCATGCGATCTCACCTCAACATTCCTTGGTTGACGATGGAATGGGAGCAACAAATTAAAATTTAGCAGCTAAGTGGGGATTTCCCACTAAACCACAACAAACAAAAATGTAAAATGTTGCCCAACAACAACCATGATTCGCTCGAAGATGTTCCAAGGATCCTCCCGCGGCATGTTGGGCGAAGACCGTCGGCACCACCAGCGCCCGCACTCCCACTCGCCGGACTCGGAAGTGTTGCTGTACTCGTAGTCCTGCCGGGCTAAAGGCTGTTGTACACCCAGTTGGCCGGTACATGGGGTCATAAACCCAGTAGACCCCATCTAGGTCAACAAGCTAGCCAACGGGGACTACACCCCCTGCGAAAATGCCGTAATTGCATATCAAATATAATTCGGGCGCTTCCTCACCGTTGTTGGTCCTTTTCCAACGGTGAAATGCCACATTCTTTTGCCGAACCCCTTTGAATTGTAGTTGGCAACGCCGCTTGGGAAACTCTCGAGATGGGCAACGGCTCTCTGCTCACCAAGCAACCTCCAACAGACCTTGGAGCCTACGTTTTCCTGGCATGACCTTGATGTTGGTTTCAACTAACACCACCACAAACCTGCACTCAGAAAATTCTTTGGCTCCGCAAATGGCCCCCTCTGGGCCTGATTCCCGGCGCCTTTGGGAGCCCAACGAAGTCGGAACCCAAAGCTCAATCCGCCTTGGGCCCAAGCGACACAATATAATGTTGACCCAGGATGAATAAACCCGGCCCATTATTAGGGGGGTGTTCCCTCCAAAAGTGATGAATCTCCACTAAAAGTGGACACCCCCCTATTAATCAACCAGGGGTTTATTAATCCGGGGTTAACATTATGTGGTATGCCGCGTGGGGTCAGCAGGGGGCTTGATATCCTCCCACCAATTGACATGGAACCTGACGTTCGGGGGGGTCCTCGTTTGGACCTTTTTCTTTTTAAAGGGACTGGGCCCCGAATGTCGGACCAAGATGCACAGCATCTGGGAACGGCCCTCGCTAAAACCTGACCTGACCTAGTATCTGAGGCACGGCCATTTTTTTTTTGAGAAAACGGGATTCCGAAACGAGCCATAAACTACTGTACAGGAAATTTCGACCGAATCTCAAACAGCAACTTCTCAAGTGGTTTGGCTAAACAAACGGTAAACTTCTTGTTTGCCACTACAATGGTCCAAACTTGAAAAGTGCAAAGTCCAAGCAACCAAGGCGTGAGCAGCATATGGGTGTGCTTTTGCGGGAACTTACCCTTTTCAGCTTGGTCAAAAAAGGAACGCCACCTTTTTGGGGGGTCCACCACCTCCAACCATCTGACAAAATGTGGGGGACCATTTGAGAAAATGTGTGGCCTTCCTCTTGTTTTCCCTGAACAACCGCACAAAGGTGACTCTCAACCAACAAATCGCCTCCCCTAGCCCAGGTCCTCCAGTGTGACCCGCACTCGCTCCGGCGCCCTCCTCAAGACGTAGCTCTGCACCGGGTGCTGGGCTTTATGCTCCACCAAGGCCACCACCTCCGGCTGCCTGTCCCTGAGACTGCGCCCGAAACGGGGGCCAAGTCCCTTAGAAACGCCAAGTCGAACTTTTCTCGGATGCCCAGTGGATGTGTATGGATTTGTTGCTTGAGTTTAAAGGAGAAGCCTTCCCCAAGAACAGGAAAGAAAGGGCACAGTTGTTGCAGGTGAGTGGGAAAATAATCAATTTCACCACAAGTGGAAGGTTAACGATTCAACTTCATGGGATTCAAGTTCTTTGGTGCGTTGTATTTAGGTGGCTTGAAAGGAAACACACAGCCAACGATGGTTGGTCCTGTCTTGGGCCCAACCACAGGGAACACAAAGATAATAGATTTTCCGAGTCTAGTTCAACCTCAAATATTATACTGAAGCAATTTTACAGGGCAAGTGCCTTTTGATTAGTTTGGTTACTAGGTCCTCCAGTAGAGAGGTTAGACTAAGCGTACCCTTGTTTTTTCGGTAGTCCATTTTAGTAGGGGAACCCTCCCAAAAAAAGGAACGGTAAAAGGGCACTACTGGGGGACCTAGGTTCTGAACCCTTGCAAGAACATCCTGCCTCAGAAGTTTCAGGAACCGGCGGAACCTCAGCTTTTTTACGCGCGATTGGATTCGTAGCGAGGGAACATCCGACTAGTCAAACAACAATCTGCTCGAACCAGAAAAACACCAACCGGCAACAAGGGACCCCCAAGTCAAGAAAGGAATTTTCACTTCGAGTTACGTCGCAACCCAGGTGAAAGAAACTCCACCGTTCCTCTGGTGGAAGGAGCGCACCCAAAACGAAGACGTGTCACGGTTCTTGCATCGGCCCCTTGCCCGATCTCCTTTAACTCCCCCTCACCGAGCCCAAGAGGTCTTGTTCGCTCTGAGCATGATGATCCGTTGCGCTCACTTCATGAGTTGATTGGCCAAACAAAGTCGAACATCTGTTGACCGCATTCCAAAGTCCACGAATTCAGGGAGTGAGTAGCACACCTCTGGGCCTCACGTCTCGGATTCGGGGCACTGTACCCTTCGGGCTGTTGGCAATTCCATGTTCCCCCCCCCCCTCCCCTGCTGCTTATCAAGGCGCCCTTACATGTACGCCACGGCCCCCCAATTCCGATTGGCGGCTTTTGACGACTGATCAGGCCTGTTGAGGGCCAATAGCTCCTTTTGGCGCCCCGTGGGATGTTATAGTTTTCTGTTGTGTGTGGACAGCCATGGGACGTTGTGGTTGTCGTACAGTTGTCGTCTTTGGTGCCGTACTTCTCCCGCCGTCTTCTCTTCTCCGAGCGGCCAGGCGGGCTTCTGGCCCCGCGCCCAAGCCAGCGACACGAACCAGAGCTGCCAATCCAGTCGCGGCATGTGGGTCCAGAGGCCTGACAAAGGTAACAAAACTGCCAACGCCCGGGCGCGGTTGGACGAAATCCCATG